AAAGTTCTGGAAGTGCATCAATTAGTGGTTCAAATATGTGCCACCTGGTTGTTGATATCCCAAATGTATTTTCACTGACTCGCCTTGCCCTTGATAGTCTGTAATTAAAAATACTTTTTTGGTGTTCTAAATATTTTCCACCATAAGGTTTCATAATATGTTGCCAGAGGGGAAATGCATCATCAGCTGTTATTACATATGGACATTTTATTTCCGTATTGGGTAGATATTCATCTTCTGGTACATGCAAAGATCCGTTTTATAGATGGCAGCTTTGAGCTTTCATGCTTGATGTTGCAAAAATTCCTCCGTCACTTGCACTACCAACAGCTCCGATGTCAAGTAACAATAACAGTACCTTGCACTGCAAAGAGCCATACGGAAAATGCTATACCACTTATGAAAATCAAAATAAATGGAACCAGAAATTGCAGGGCAGTGACGGCGTACATGCTCTTCACCCAAACCTCCTATACACAGTGGAAAATTCCGTTTTTCCCAGAATTCTTGTGCGAAATTTTCCCACTTTTTGCAGTTGTCGGGCATACAACATAAACAGGTTGCTTGAAATGTCTCTACGATAATCTTATTCACAGTCGAATGGCCTAGTCTGTAGCTAAATGCAATGGACTGGTGTGAATCTCCAGTTGACAAATATCGAAGAATTACAGCAAGTCTCTCTGCAGGTTTAATCGGCTCTCGTTTAGAATCCGATTTTAAAATTATTGGGGCAACAAAACTTAATAACTCTTCAAACAGATCTGGTGACATTCGGAAATACACTTACGTTCAAAAAGTATTGGGACGAATTCGATAAACGAATTATGGCGTTCCGTTGGATTCGGTTTTGCAACGGAAACTTTTTCAGATTCAGGCAGTCTTTCTACAATTAATCTAGGCCCAAGTTACCCCAAAATGGAATAAAAAGTTAACAAAATGCTTCAACTTATGAAGAATAACCAAGAAAACACAGGATTCTTTCCATTTTCCTGATTATAACAGCAAAATATGCAGAAGGGTTGAATGGCCTAACAATATCAAAGTCACATGACCTTCCAAAAATTTTAGAGATGTCCAAACAAATACAACTTTTTAATTTCACGTTTGCATAACAAAAACAATTATTAAAGAAATTATAAAATCAAACTTTTAAGCTTCAAAAAAAGTTTACTTCATCGACGAAAATGCTACAAATTTATTAAATTATTGCATATATTCAAGCTACTTTTAAAATTGCGTAACGTTAAAGGAGAAGCCATTGTACTCATCATCGATGAGTAATTTTTGCTTTGAGAGAGCATTTGTTTTTCTTATAACGCTGGAAAAATTGTATTTTTCATAACTTTATAGCCATGTTTTTGCTTATGTTCCATTATTTAGCTTCTTTTTACATGACAACACGATGTCTGGTAAGGATTCAAACCTATTACTTCGCAGTTCCCTCAGTAAAGAACTGTCGTCCCTCGGCGTCGTAAACTTCCTCGGTCTGCCATCCCTTGATAAATATTTTACTGTTCTTGTACCGAAAAACTTTTTACACACCAGAAAATCTGCACTCAATGAGCAGCCGACAATTGATGCAATTTCACGAAATCCATTTGCTTTATTTTAGTAGAAAGCAATTTGTATACGCTTCTCTTAACTCAGTTCTTGAGTTTTCAGAGCTTCCATGTTTTCATCTCGAGACCTATAGAAATTTTATGGGCGATGATTTTTTAATTTTTTGGCGTACATAAAAGGCTTCAAAATATCAACAATGTCTTGTGAAAATTTCATGGAAATAGCTGCCGTACTTTTTTAATGAGAAGGATTTTAAAAAAGTCTTTCCAAATTTGTTGCATAAAATGTCTTCGAAGTTTCGAAGGGTGTCCCAATACTTTTTGAACGTAAGTGTATTTAAAGAAAGATTTGTGATCTCCTAGCTGCATCTCTTTCATTAAATTGAAATACTCTCCTTGCTCTTTTCTTTTCTGCAATATTGGACGAATCCAAAATATTTATTACGTCGCTGTCTTCTCCTTATTAGCATCAACAGCAAAATTCTGTTTAGGGCTGCCATCTTGACTACTATTTTCTGTGTTTTGTCCAATGAGGTTTATTTTTACCTCATTGGTTTTGTCTGGGTAATACTTTGGCGCCAAAGCCGTATGCAAATATGCAAAAAGCCAAAATTAAGCCATAAAATGACTTTAAGCCAAAAGGAATTTCTGAAGCCGAACAAGTTCGACAAAAGCCAAATTTATGGAATTTGGCTTTAAAAAAGCCAATACACCCACCATGGTTTTGCCTGGGTAATACTATGCAAATTTTCAGAAGACGAAAGCGGTTCTCTCAAATCGTATTCACATCGCATGAACGTGTTCGCAATTCGCAAATCGAAAATCGCATGCGAAATCCGAACGAAGTGGAAATGCGCGTGTCCAGGCCCCCTAAATTTTCTAGGTAGAAGAGTCAACTGCAATTAGGGCATTTATTAAGGATTTTTCAATAGTGGGGCATTTCTCAAAAGGGGCCATGCTCACGACAAGAAATTGAACTGTGCTTCAATTTGTAATATGCTTCCGTTTCATTAAAAAAATCAATGTGTTGTTGCGACAGCTAAATGGCATGTTTCGCACAAATTTTTGGAGACATCTATTTGGTTAAAATTTTCTCTTATCAAGGACATAAGCTGGGGGAAGAAGTTAACAATTGAGCTTGGAATGAAGAATTTTAATCTTGATGTTTGAATTTTATCACATTTAGAAAAATATTACTATAGCAAAGTCTCTTTAAAAAGTTCTTACAGATTGTAAATAAACCAAATTGTGGAACCTTTGCTTATGAAGTTTTTAAGATCAGGAACCAAACTATAGAAGAAAATTATATTAAAAAGTTTTCAGTGAAGAATCTGGATTTCGATGGGAATTTCTAGCAATAATTCCAGAGAGGTTAAAAATGGCTGTTGCTGGAAGCCTGAAAGCCATGGTCCCAAAAGGTCATCCCCACTCTCTTTGCTCATTTTGTATAGCACCTTAGTATTTAAAGGGCAATTTTTGGTTATGCAGTTGGCAAAAAAGGGCAACTTGGTAAGCTGGAAAGGGGCATTTGCCTGTAGTTTTTTAAAGAGGGGGGAGGCATATGCCTCCTGTGCCCCTCGGTCTCTGCATCTATGAGGCAGGACGACTGAGCGTTTCAGGAATTAGCCAAAATTGACAAATCCATTGTAAAAACACATTAGGGACAGGAGCAGATATAAGCAGCAATGATTGGAGGGGTGTTAGACATTAATTTTGGTGCCACACCTTTCAGGTCACTGGTACATGATGGAAACGCCCATTTTCAAAATTTGGTTTCTAACTGTGGCGTAGCCAGGTTTGGAAGATTAGTAGACCAAAGAGGGAAATATTTTTGCTGATCACACCCCTAAGAATTTGGGAAAACACCCATTTCGTAAATGTGTTTGAAAAGCCATGGCATTTTTACGAGGCAATTTCCCTTTATTCAACGTCATAGGTGGCTGACCATATTCTAGAACCATATTCCACTAACGTTTATATCCTGCATTGTGTAAGGCGAGGAATCTCTACGTGTAAAAAGTGATTTTCCAAAATTGTAATCAAATATCTAAAAATTACCAGTATTCAATAGTTTGAAACAAAGTCCGTTTTCCTTGGAGCAAAGTCCACGACAAGCATGTCAGAATCCAGTTTTTTAGGATTGGACTGCTTTAGCATTTTAGTTTTTATTTTATCAGGAATGTCTCAAGAACGTGAAAGACTTTTCTATACAAACCCAAAACGATGGGAAATTACTGAACATTGAGGCAGAAATTTTTGCGATGATGCCTGAGTTTAGCTTAAAATACATTTGAGAATATCTCCCCCACCGCTACGCTACTGATAAGAAGATAAATGCTGATAAAAAATAAATAAAGTAAAATCTTGGCGTTACTTTGTTACTACTGACTACCAACAAATGATTTTCACAGAATGAAACAAAGTTTACCGAAGGACACAGAACTATTGGGGGGTGTCACACGCCCTACACCCCCCTCTAAATCCGTCCCTGAGCAGCAATGTTAAAAAAGGCCCCCTGACTGCAATTCACTATGACTATGAGCTCCAGGTTTTTTTAACATTCAAAAGGTATGCTAAGATGGAAAGAGGGATCTAAATTGACAACCAGTGCTGCTTGTTACCTAGCTTTAGAAGTAACTGACAACATGGCGTATTTCTCAAGACCATGGCAAAATTGTACCAGTTGTTTTTATCTACTGTTCAATTTATTTGTAAAAAAATTATTTTCAATATGATCAGGAGGATTACTTCCGTGAAATGTGCCTAAAAGAGTGCATTTTCCAGGGAACTAGAAGCATCAAAATTCGAAAGTTTCCTGCTCCATCGGCGGCAACCATGGTGCCGCCTCCGATAATAACTATCCTTTGCCCGTTACGATATAGAGAATTGACAACATTATTTGGAAAATTCCTTTATTATCAAATTAAAATGAAGTTGCAAAATTACATACTGAGTTAGAATGACAAAATGCACTGCAGAGGTTTGTGACAGCAACTAAAGAATTTCAGGCAAAAAATTTTAATTAAAATTTTTTAATCAGGTAAATTTGTAGTCCACAACCCCTCCCCCCCCAACAAGGCTTGCCTCTCGACGGCCCTGGGCTTCAGCCCTCCCTCCCAGCCTCTATGTATCCTACGCCTACGAAAGCGTGGCATAAAATAAGAAATTATTACTTTTGAAATTCTAAACTCTGTTGCTGTCCTGTTGAAAGAAATAACTTTGAATAGCAAGACAATCCAGGGCTCGTGCGGGAATAAAAAAACAATACCCCTTTGTAAACGTTCGAATAGCAATAGCGTAACCATGAACCAATCATATTCATTGCTTCTGGATGTGTCCGTATTTGCCCAGACGTGTTTACAAAGGCAAAATATTTTATGCAGTTTAAAAGTATCCGGACATTGAATAAAGAACTACACCAAAGCTGTAACAGGTACGTGTTGAATCAACCTTCTTTATTTTTAATTTTCAAGTTTCTTTTTTCATTTTTGCTCATTAAAAATCACCTTGCTCTGCAATAAGAAATATATTACCCTTGCAAGGGAATCACCAGCTGTAATTCCCTTTTAACATTTATTGCATCACCAAAATGGTACCACAGTCTTTTCGTCGTTTGCAACCATTTGAGTCGGATAGCACATTGAGTATAAAAAAGATGGTGATCCCCGTCCTATTTATATCGGTGTCTTTTATTTCTTCTGTGGTAAGTTAGATTTTATCTTGTTTTATCTCCCTTATAATTGATTTTTTTTAAATCCGAGCAAAGAATTTTTATGTAATTATAAGACGCCCTGTGGAAGTTTAAATTTCATAGATCTCATTCAAAGTAGAGTTTAGCTCATATCAAATAATTTTTAGCTCATTCCCCTTGGAAGTAAAGTAACCCCACTCGATTTGGTTGTAATCCAATTCCTTTTCCACGTGGGTTACTCAAACCCAACGATCGATTAAGTTAGGCCCTTTTCTTTCCCAGTTTACCAAGTCATGTTGATTTTTCGAGAAATAAATCTGTACTGCTTATACTGCTATATATGTGATCCATTAATCTGTCTATGGAAATCATTTTCGTCCATAAGGGTGTCACAACATATTTGAAACCAGCTGATCAAAGTCCTCAAATTTGCAACCTGTAAGATCTTTTTTTTGAAAAATAGACCCAACAAATACAATTGTTTGATATCGGTACAAATTGCTTCACTGTATTGAAGGGTTTTCTCTAAACAGCTTTTAAAAAGCAAGAATTGACACTCATTTGTACATTTAACATGATTGCTTTCAATGGTAATCAAATATTGTTAGCTCGGCATTATGCAGCCCACCTGCCGTTTTCACGTTCCAAGACACTCTTTGTACAGATCAGGATTCTCATTCTTCGTAACGTATGTTTTTAAAAAAGTCATACGCAATAATGGCCAACGAATGTTTCGCGAGCAAAATACTGTGTTTTTACATAGAGTAGTTTGATTTGTCCAATAAGAGTTGTACCATGTCAAAGGAAGCACTATTTTACAAAAGAAATGAACGAGACACCTTGGGCTTCGACCTATGGGGAGCAGATTCTTGGAGAGAATAATGCAATGTTATCAAAATATCTTCATATTTCTGGAAAATGTTAACCATAGAATTGTGTTTTCATACCGATTGCTGAAGGAAGCTAAATGAAAGACCATCAGAAATAGAATACAAATGCGAACGACCATTTGAGCTTGTGAATTTTGACTTTTTGAAGGCTGAATTGGTCCGCCTTCATTTCCAGATAGGCCTTGGAACATACCTTCGGATCTCTTTCAAATGAGACGCACTTGTTTTTGACCATCTTCTATCGCTTTTCCATTCAGTGGTGATCTTAATCGTAAGTAACATATCATTTGGAAAGACGTAAATATTATAGTTGCTCAAATATCAGTGCATAGCGTTGACAAAGAAATGTGTATTCGTTAATGATGTTTGAGAAGCTCGTATTAAATAACTGAACGGAATGCAGGAAGGAAAACCTTATGCGAGCAAATTAAACCCATTTGTTGTATAAATTTGGCTTTTGTTACTGGAAAATAGCAAAATATTCAGACATATTACAGATCCATCTAGCGAGAGGTAAGCGGAGGGAAAGTACCTTTGCCCTGAAGACGATAACAATGCTTTTTGTTCCAGTTTTAGTTATACTGACGAAACTATACCAGTATTCCTAATTTCCGTTACCAACTCGGAAATTTTACTCGTTTCTCTTGGAAGCACCTTTCAATGGGTAAAATATGGTTGTGAAGTCGATGTCATGTGTATCTTGAAAGACTACCCTGAGTGCCTTTCTTGAGGCTCTGGTACCCAAGGTATTGAAAGGCCAGTTGTTAACAAGAATGAAAAGGGATAGACTTGAACACGGTATTCTATTGTATAGACTTTCATACATTTTAGCCTTGTAATGTTTTGATTTGATTGTTTTTAAGTCTCTTTATAACTTTCCGATGTGTTGTGATTTGGGCCTGTCCCCTCAGCAAATATGGAAGGAACCAAAATACCCTTGACTTAAGGATAGATACATTTGGTTGGCTTTATTTTCAATCAGCAACTTTTTGCTAGAATAGAATGTTAAACTTTATTTTGTTAATAGTATTCTTTTGGGAAATATTATCTTTGTTGCTCCGGGCTGCTTTAGAAATACCTCAAAGTCAGTTTTGTAACAGATTCTGGCAACACATACATTTTCAATGTTTTTATTATGGACACATTTTTACCATACCAGATTGACACAAGTTTTGCTAGCCAATAGTTTTCAAACATCCACCCATAATTATGAAACTTTTTTGCAGATAAAAGTAATGTTGAATTAACAAAAACAAAAGTTTCGACGTATTTGTGAGAATTTTAGGTCGTTTTGTAACTATAACCTGCTTGTCCAGAAGGCAATGTCCAATGAGCATGTTCAAAACGAAAGTTCGATTAAATGAAAAGACCGGGAACAGGAGAGTGTGAACATGTTTGTAGTCTATTTTACAGATAAGATTAGCTAAGAGAATTTTGTTAGAACATGGGGAAATCCCTGCGTAACAGTAGATATTTCAGAACAAGTACAAGTGGGGTTTTCGGGAATGATTTCAGTATAAGCCCTTTAGTTTCTCAAATATCTGATTTATGTATCTCAAATATCAAAACTTAAATATCTTCTCTAAGGAATTTATCATAATTGGTAATGATTCTTCCTTTAGAAGCTTTGTTATGAATCTTTGCAGCATGGTGGGTCATGATTAAATCTCCATTTTGTCCCTAAGAGTGAAACTGTTCTTAAATGCCTCCTTAGTTGTTTTTTTGTTGTTGTTTCTATATCTTTTAAACTGTGCCTTTATATTCATCTTTTTGCATGATTTTGGTGCTCTGAGTGTATTAAAGATTTATTTTCATTTTTTAATTGAATACCACCAACATATTCTGCAATATTTTTACATTTGGTGTGACTGTGTTAGTTATTATCTTCTAGAAGAAAAATTCTGGAATTCGGTTCAACTTTCTTAGCTAATGTATAAAAATTGCTTAGAAATATCATGATGAAGTATTTTAAGGGCATTTTTAGATGTCAATTCAAACCTTTGAATAGAATTCTCGATCGACCAAGTAAACAAAATTTAAAATGATAAAGAATTCCTCCACGAAAATGAATCAAGCAAGATTTTCATAAATTTAACTTTGTTTTGATATGAGTGATTATTATAAATTTATTAAGATAATAACGTAGAGATCATTTTGAATTTAAGTATGTTTTTTTGTAGAATGGTTTTAACTTGTTTTTCGTTTCATTTTAAATCCGATAGCTTTTGTGATTTCTGTTAGTTTTGTTATAACCCCTTATATGAATAGGATAATATCTATGTCTTATTTCAAATTTTTAGATTAATCTTACCGTTTGTTTTGTTGTAATTAATAGTTTTATTTTATCTCTATATTACGCAAAGTCGTTGATATTTCCTGATGACTTTTCTGAGGCTTAAATGCTTGATCTGATTTTGTTTCGAAATATGCATATGAATGTTCCAATAGGTTTTTTCATGTAACTTGTTTCCATCTTCCCTTTCGAGATGCATTTGTTCCCATCTTCCCTTTCGAGATGCATTAGTACCCATCTTTCCGTTCGATTTTTCGCCATATTGCCATGTTCCCCAAAACACCTTAAAAACTCCAACAGCTACATGCTAAGAACATGGTGTCCTTCAATGTTTTCGTTAGAAGTATGAGAATTTCAATCGATGGGACGCTCGAGCGAATGTAAACAAATTTGTTTTCTCTGAAGGGGCTGTTAAATAGATTTTTTTGTGTAGATGCTTTTTTGAAAATGTGAATTTATACAGTTAAGAATGTGCCAGCTACATAGACATGGTTTTGCTCTAATAAAATCGATTGAAAGACGATTTGATAATCAGAGGGTATATCTTTTCCAAATGATTAATAGAAGCACATTGCTTTGAGTAACATAAGCCGTTTCTTTGTTTCTAACAATTTACAGCCTTTTGCCAAGGTTTTCGACTACCTTTGATTTGAGAAAAATTATTATAACAGATCTATTGTGTGTCGTGACTGCTATTTTGACTAAGGTTACGAAATAGAGATTTCATTGAGGCAGCAAAAGTAGATTGTATAAAGAGTAACCTTTTCTCCTTCACAGGGCGTGTGAATTTTGGTGGAATATTTGCTGAAAATCTCTCCAAAAATAGCTTCTCCCCTCTTTTTCTTTAGTTTCAATAAACAATTAAGCCGGTGTAAGTTTTTCTGTCAGCTGCAAGAAAGATTTCATTCTTTTACGCTTTTACAGCTAGAGTAAAATATAAAATGCTATGTGTAGGAAAGCTGTTGGTGTGTTGAGCATCCGACTGCTAATTTCTAAAATCACGGTTGCCTGATTTAAGATTTTAGTTTTTTTTGCACTTTTGAAATTATTTGCTTTGCAAAAGAATAGGGGAAATGGAGCTTAGTTTATATTCTGTTATATATATATGATCATCTATTCCTTTTTGTCAAGGGGAGTTCCCGGAAACAATTATATTCATCTACTGGTCAAAATATAATCTAAAGGAAAAATTTGAAATCACAATTTTTATATTCTCATGATGAAGATATCTATATGGTTTTTATATGATCTACTGAAATGAATAGTTGATTGCCTATTATTAGGTCAAATTAAGTTTTGTATTTTATGATGTATTTTCAATGTAATGTCTTTCCACTTTACTGTAGAATAGGAAAAGCAATAGATTGCCTCTTCCTTCGATAATAACACGATAGCCTGGTTTTTAAAAATATTACTTTACTTAATTTAAGCTCTCAAAACTATTTGGCATATCCAGATGTGTTTGTTTAAAGTGCAGATTAAATTGAAGAAACAGTTCATTCTTAGTTCTTCCAACGGCACTTCTCGGAAGACGTTCTGAAATGCAGTCCTAGCCAGTGGTGTAGTGCTTTCAAAATAACAAGGGGGGCTCTTGCCCAAAATGTTTCGAAAAGCAATAGCAAAATTAGAGATTTGCCAATTTTCGGCATCAAAAAGGGGAGCTCAGCCCCCCTGAGCCTCCCTTGCTCTACACCCCTGGCCCTAGCCCTTGGAGAAACTCAGAACTTAGATTTGTAGCACAACTTCTTTCATGCCTTATTCTGTGAATTTCTTCTTGCGGCTCTTCACAAGTGAGAAATCCATATTATGTAATATAACACATACACTGCTTTAAAACAAAATGCATCTAATTAGCCACAGAGAGTCAATAATTAAATTGATGGGTTAAAACTTCACAAGTATTTACTTTCATTTTAGAGGGCACAGACTTGCCAAATCGATGAGTACTTCAATGTCGGAAAGCAAATATGTTTTCCATGCTCGAAATGTGTTTTTGGACAGCATGAAGTCAAGACATGCAATGAAACAGAAGATAGACAGTGTGAGGACTGTCCAAATGTGAGTGCACCATGGCAGTTCATATGTTTATTACCGCCAAAATACAGTATTTTTTTTTCTATATTTTGACAAGAAAAATCTGTTTCATGATTTAAACATTCTTTAATGATTAGGAGAATAATGAAGCAATCACTTTGAAGTAATTTACGTTTTGCTTATTGAGAAACAACTTGTAGTCTTGCTGCAGGCTTTCAACAAAGGATTTTAATGAGACACCAAAGGGTTGTTGTAGATTTAACAGAGCTCAAAACAATATTATTCACCAATTTTATGCTTTTTTGTTGCTCTTTTATTCTTTGAAAGCTTAAATTGCAATACTAGACTGGGGTGTTTCTTAGAAAGTCATCTGGTTACTTCTATAATCATCTTCAGAAAACCTACTACAACGGAAGGTCTTGCATAAATTGTTCAAGATGTATCAATGGCGAGATTAGGCCCTGTAATGTTTCCTCAGACGCACTCTGTCTTAAGGAAAGTACACCAAAAGAAGGTAAATTCTCCTTAACTCTCATATGACTTTGTTATTTTCACGTTATGATCAAACGATTCTTTGGTGTTGCTATATTAAATACGGTTTACGTTTTCGTTGACACAGCAGGATGACTTTAACAAGCAGAACAAGACTGTACAAACGTATTTATAAGACTGAATTCCTTTGGTTTGTAATCACAGGTATTGATGCTCTGCAAGCAAAAAAATAATGATATAAAATACAATAACTAATGATATAAAATAGTGACTGTTATGTTAATCATATAAAAGTTTCAGACTACATTCAATATTATACAAAACGTTGCATATCAATTTACATCTTCGTATAACTACAAAACAATCCATTGTTAATAGAAAAATATAAAATAAAATATAAATACTTTATGATAAGATAATAAACTAGTTAAGCCTGTAGGTAATAATAATAATAATAATAATAATAATAAATCGAATATTTTAACAGGATAACCTATCAGTACAATATGTACTGTTGTCATTAGGGTCCTGATAGGTATATAACGATATCAAATGAATAAATCCTTTTCACTAAGCAGAGAAGTCAAGTATTGGGGATGGTCAGGAAATCAAAGAGGGGAATTTGTTTTCAAGTTTAAAGTTTTGACACAGCATTTTTGCAAAGACCCTAGAGTGATCTATAGACATATCTGTTGACTCAATTATACTTAGTGATTCTGAAGGGGTTGAATATTAGGGGTGTTTAAAGGACTCTAGTGTAAATCATTCGAGTTCTGCGTACAATTTTTCAGAGCTGGTCGTATAATTCACACTTAATATGTAAAATGCTAAAGATACGCGATGCAAGAAGTACTATTCATAAAAATTACATCTGTTTAAGAGAAGAAACTGAAACAGCGTTATCTTTAGGGACATATCAATCATATAGATAACAGATTAACAGTTATCTGATGAACGCATTAACTTAGAACTATCCTGTTCCATCACAAGTAGTGTGTATTAACTGTTTATTGCAATTATTGCAATTTATTAAACTTCAATTTGAGTACTTGTTCCAAAATCAGTGAATAAGAGATGCCATAATCTGAAAACTGTGTACCGGGAAAAACGTATTGTAGAGCGTTTCCCCAAATGAATTTTTCTGTGACTAGTTTCAAACTCTAATTTTGAGACTCTTACACCCAGGGTAGAGATGTAAATGAAGCTGTTGATAGTCAAACTTTAGCATCTCTTTTGAGATACTTATTTGTTGACTTAAATTCAAAGATGACACGGATTTTAATCAAAGACTAGTAATCTAATACATTTATTAACATAAGTCTTCATGAATGACCATGCTCCACTTCACATAGGCTCAAAAGTTGCTGTTGCTCTTACCTTGACGTTTGTTTCTTGTGCTGTTGCGTTGGCAATCGGTTTAGTCGCTGTCTACATGTACAAAAGGAAACGCAGGCAAAAACCACCAAAGGAAACCCCAGAAGGTAAAGTTTTACTTCCTTATCAGTGAGCAGTGCTATAATTCTGGAGAAAAATTGTTGAGATTTTTGAAAAAGGGAGATGTTTTCTGCTTTCTTTCAAGAATAACTTCCCCCTCCCTCAAGTTCAACCTTGAATGAATTTTTTTAAGCACTAATAATAAAACTACTAATCCAACATCGATGGGGACGGGGAGGAGGGAGGATTTGAATTTACAGGGGCAACGTAAAGTAGGAAACGCAAAAATTACATTTGTCTCAAAAGATTTGTCCAGGTTTGTAGCTGATGCAAATTGCAAAAAGGCTTATCAACTTCATAATGATAAACAAAGATCAAAATTAACAAAAATTGAGTCATTTTTTGGTATATGGGTAGCGAAATATCTTAAATTGATTTTTATTTAGTCTTTCTGTTTTGCCATTATTTATTTTTGTTATAGAAGTGCCAATGAACGGGATAGAATAATGATATGGCAGGAAAATCGCTGAAAGTATAAACAATAGAGAACCTAGCTGGAAAGGTTTGAGGCTTTCGATTTGTGTAATTTAGGAGGAAGTGACACTAAGTGCAAGTCATCAATTCCCGTGATAAGAAACAACAATTTCTGAATTTCATCAATTGTTTATTATTAAAGGCATGGCTCGTGCAACTTCAAATGGTGAGGCATGGATTTATTATTCAAACCTACTGATTATATATTTGCATTAACATAGCATGAACTATGTAACGAGATGGTATTGTTCAGCCAAATTTTTCCTGTAATGTTTCTAATTAGAGCCATGGCGTTTGTTCAAAGTACTAAGCGGCAATGGTTGAGGGGGGGGGGGGGGGGGGGGGGGGGGGGGGGGGGGGGGGGGGGGGGGGAGTGTTGTTAGATAGTGAATAGATTTTGGTGCCTCACCCTTAAGGCGACTAGAAAAATGATGGAGAAGCCAATTTCTAAAAATCAGTTTTAACTTTTAAGAAAAGAAGATAAGAAGATAGATAAAATTAATATTTTAGATCATTTTGTTACTTCTGGCTTTTTACCGAATCAAAGCAGAATTTTTCGAATGACAAAACTGTTAAGGGGGTGTCGCAACCCTAAGATTCCCGGTAAATCCATCCATATTAAACCCTTGTTGGATCAATCTGCATCTAATCTGAATAGCGTTCATGAAGACCTTGATGTTCCTGTAACATGATATCCTTTTATTCCCTGTGTCTCCACTTTCCTACGCCGTTGCTTGCATGAAACTAACCTATGCAGGGATCGGTATCTACAAAATGGATTCTGTGAAAATAAAGCTAGAAAACGATTAAATGAAATGGCTTAGTTTGAGCGTATAAATCTATTTCTTTGTCTCTTGAGTTATGGAATGATTCAGGTGGTTCTTATAGGGGTGGTTCAGGGGGCCCATCTCTACTATTAGCCCCTTATTTTTATCTATGACCATGACAACGAACCCTCAGATTTTGGGACAGTTGGAGGGTCATGATAGCCAACCTTCTGATAGAAGATGGTACCTGAAGATGATATTAGAGAGGGGGGCTTGTTAAGGAGAGGTGCTAATTAAAAGTATGCACCAGGAATCTTGACATAAATCTGCAAGGTAACTAATTGACAAATTCATCTAGCAGATATGGCCTTGATTTTGAAGTGACTTGCACTTTGTTATCTTCAATGTTAAAAGAACGAGAAAGTATTGCAAATAATATCTTGTAAATAGTTTATACGAGTTAGATGATTGTTCTGTTGACCTAAGTGTCTTTTGTTGCTATATTTGTAGTCTGCTTTTTAGAATTTTGTAAATTTATAGGTACATTGAATTGGTTTGTTTTATTTATTTAGTAAAGTATTATAAAGACTATATATATAATATTTCCATCGATTTGAATTCATTCTTGATTTCGATATTGGTCCAATCCTTTGCATGCCCCAGTGTAGTTAGTTAACAATCTTTGTAAAGCTAGTCTAATTTGACCTTTAATATACCATAAAAGTCAAGGGGGAATGTGTCGCCTATTCAAAGACTGACGAAAACAGTCTGCTAGTCAGTTTTCAGGTGGAAATTTCCCGTCAATCTCTTGAAAACAGATAACTTGATGCTTGAGCGTTGTTTCAATTCCAAATAATGTTTGAATTATATTTCTTCCTTTTACATTTACGAATAGATATTTTATGCATCAGTGTCAGTGACATTTCCTGCAACGTTGGTTGTAAATTTGCAGAGCCAGGCAAAATCCTGAGTTACAACTAAGCTTCTTTTCTTGAGTCGTATGCAATATGTTTTGAATTGTAAATCATATTCTTCGCAACATCTTCGCGAAATAGGTACCCCTCTCCCCCCTATCAATATTGGAGCTCAAGCTATAGCATCAAAGAGCCATTGGAACATCTAAAAAGTTGAATTGGAGGAAAGAGGGGGGGGGGGAGGGAGTTTCTAAATGTTTTTTAAAAATTCAGCCCTTTTTTCTTGGATTTTAGCTCTCAAGCATTTTTTGGCAAACAACAAGCCTAAGTAAATATGTTATTTCATGCATTCATCCCATATATATTTAGTTTAAAGCACTGGTTAGTTACACGGTTAAAGCAAGGCAATATGCTCCAGCCGGACCCTCAGTTTCAAAGAGCCCCATATTGCTATTTCAATCAAAAAATATTCTATTCAAATATTGAGTAGAAACTGGTAATTTCATATACGCATTTAATGTTGTTGTTCTTGAATTATTTAAAGTACAATTAGTTTTATATGACAATTTATCATAAATAACACTGAGTTTTGTCGAATATTTCAGGAAATTTTTCCGGTTTTACCTTGTTTTTTCTGCACTTTTGTCTGTTGGTAAAACATAATTGGAAATTTTCTAAACAGCTTTATTGGTATATACTGAGAGGTACCATAATAGAAAAAAAAACAAAACTTCTAATGAAAGCATGCAGTTTTTTAAGTCCTTGCAACGCCCCAGGCTTCCCATATCAATGTATTCACACGACTCTGCAGATTTAGCAGAGTCGTTTTCATTAAATTACAACTTCAGCTTCTATTTCTGTTTGCCAATTGTTAGAGCAAGAAGGTTTCATACACTTTCCCACGTGATAAGAACTTAACTCGTGACCCTTCTTTGTTCTTGATAAGAACAAAGTTTCCATGGACACACGTTGAAAACAGCTTTTTTAATGTAATCTGTTTTATACATGATAAATGTTCGAATTATTCTTTTTATCATTGTCATTATTTGATGTTGTTTAAAATCTCAGATTTCATCCCTCAAAGAACAGATTTCAATCACAAAGTCACCTCATTTCTTTTGTATTTTGGTAGGTCAAACCCATAAATTGTGTGAATCATTTCTGACCATTTGACATTCAACTTGATATCACCAATGACCTTCATGATCTCTTTTATCAAAAACTGTCTTTAAGAAACCGATCCCTGACATGATCATTTGGAACCAACAATTGATTTGTGATTCTCTTTGAGAGATTCTGCTGGTCTCAGATTAAAGCCAATTTCTAGCAGACTTTTCCAATTCAATTTCCAGGCAAATGTATCCTACGTTCTAGCTATTAAGTCACTTTAATACCAACCATTTAAGTACATTGTACAAAAGCCGGCGAAAGCGGAAGGGGGCCATGGCCTCCCTACTTTTCTACAGAGCTAATGGAAAATTTTAGGCAAAAATGGAAATAAATGTAGTATATAATTCTGTTAGTAACTGTGCTTAGTAATCCCTTACATATGCCTTTAGATTTAGCTTGGTTGCTATGACTTTTCCATAGAAGACATATATAAATTTGAATATGGGAAATAAGATTAAAGAAATCGGTCACTTTCTAAGTTGTACAACGGGTAACAGCTTGGCCTAGAAAATAGATCGAGAAACCTGATCCAGCACAAATTGGTGCCAGCACAAATTGACGGAGTTTCGTTTCTTCTATTGCCTGAACGTGGCTCACAAGGTCTATTTGTTAACAACAAATTTCTCAGGAACATTGCAAAAAGAGAGAAATTGCTAGCGATGTGAAAGGGAAAGAAACTGACGAAAAGAAAATTCTTGAGCACATGAGAAAGAAAAAATGGGCAGATTTCTATAAAAGTAAAATCTAGAAAACTTCAACACTTGATTGTATCGATAATCCATTCCTACTAAGAAAGAAAATCTAGACGCAATTATAATTCTATCAAAACTATTTTTGATTTTTGTTAAAAGCACCTTTTTCCGAAATTTTTAAGATCAGATGTTACAAAACAATATCCCAAGTGTACAAATTGCTTAATTTGCTTTTATTTTAGTTGATAGTTATTCTGTTTTGTTAAACTTGTACATATTGATTAAACAAAGCTTAAAGATATTGCCTCGGATTTTCGATTTGTTTGACTATACAAAAGACCTATCCTTACGTCTAATCGTCTATCATATAACGCCTCAGCACCTATTGCTAACCCTCCATGGTAAACTGACGGAAACACGAGAAAAAGATTTCCAAAAACATATTTTTCTCTTTTTCTGTTGTTTCTCTTACTTATTTTTTTTATTGAACAACCCCCCCCCCTCTTCAAAGGTAGAAATTTTATTGCAGATTTGCAATTTTATTAGAGACCAACTTTCTGAGCATTGGGGGCGGTTGTCCCCCTTGTCCCCCTAGCTACGCTATTTTTAAAATCATATCCCCTTTTTCACAAACGCCTTCATAGAGCGTCAAAATCAAAGAATAGATTCCCATTGAGGTCAGGGGCGCTATTTTGAGGTGGGGGATGTATTTATATTTTTTTATATCGTTATAATTTTTGACCGTGGGCACTTTTTCCGACGATTTACGGTATGTAACATTTACAAGATTCTAAAAAAATTAATTATCTCTTTACGTAAAGTTGCAAGACATTGCCCACATAGGTTGAAATAACGGGGGCTTCGGGTGTGGTGTCAACCCCTTTGAATTCTTCCCCCAACCTCATTATAAACAAAAAGACTGTAGAGGACGCCTCACAAAATACATACAAAATATTATAATAAAACAAAGAAAAATAGAATAGAGCATGTAGTCATTTTGCCGTTCTTTCGGCCGATTGGCGGTTTCTTTCTTTCTTTCGTCTCATTTGCTTTTCAATCGCTGGCTATTCCCAGATTTGTTTATTCCAGCCAATCAGGTCCGAAGACTTTTACCTGCCTCGACTTGTCAATCCCGCCATTGTTGGTTTTTCTGCCTTACCATTGTCCCGCAAGGCTACACAAAATAATATGCAGTTTGATAAATCTACGATTTCAGTAAACTAGATTGATTTCATAGCAATTCCAAGATCGTTTTTCATATCGTCAACCCGGCGAAAATGCAAATATGCGGAAAATATCACATGGTTGCTTTAGCAACTAAGCCAGGGTGAATAAGTACGTTGCTGTTGCTGCATACTCAACGGGAATCACCACTTCCACAAAAGTTTTGCGCACACTGCAAATTCCATAGCCTGTGTTGATTGTGAACGTGATGTTACATCGGAAAGCTGAGTTTGTTAAGTTCGCATATATTCAAGCCTTGGTCTTCTTGTATGCTGTTCACTGTGAGGTAGGAAGTTAATATTGCTTATAAATCTTACTGCGAGGCCAATAATCTCAATCGTTTATCTATGTTTATCATATATTGAAATGTCATCCTCGTCGATTTGTCGTAGCGACAGGTATTTATAACAACATCTGATTCCAATTTCTTGTTTTTTGTTTTCAAATAGATAGCTGAAGTTTCCCTTAAATTTGGCCTGTAAAATTCAATCTCTATCGGGCTTTGAGTAAAATCAAAATCCCCCTTATCACGCATGACGCAATAATTGTGCATTTAATTTCGCTGCCTTAATCTCCGGTGTAAATCCCACGTTACCAACACAAAATTTAAGTTGATTTCATTTTTATAAAAGGAATTAAAAGCCATAAGTCTTGGTCACTTTATTTTGACTTATAACATGAATGGAGGGTGTGTTTCCACATGCTTCTCGTTGGCTTTTCGTCAGCCGAACGTTTTGCTCATGCGCATTCCTTGCGCCAAGGGAAAATACCTTCCATCTGAAAAGACTGAAATTTGGTTAACAGATGTTCCCCAGCTACAGCGGGGCTCGCGCCACCGAGTGGGACAAGGGGCTATAGCCCCACACTTTTTGATAAATAAAAGTTTAAAACGGGCCCGATTTTTGTTGTTAGATTAACCTGTAGAATAGAACAAGAACAATTTTATAAGAACACGAGCCTCAAAACTGGTCAAAAGTTAAGAACAAATTAAGAACAAGCTTAGGCTGAGCTTCTGTAAAATGCAATTTTGAACAACGTTTTTTCTCAAAATCGAGGATTTTTAGCGATGTGTGGGTGCTTTTTCTGTGAATATTCAAATTTGTCAGCAAATTAAGGCTGTCTCACTCACTTTGTTGGCAAATGAGGCCTGAACACCTCCTTAGAGCGAAAAAGCTAGCAATAGCACTGCTAACACCCTCTTAATTTAAGAACAAATTAAGAATAATCCAGCCTCGGATTTTCGAAGAAATTAAGAACAGTCAGCCTAAACTTAAATTTACTGGTTCTTATAAAAAAAGAGTGTACATTAAACTAAAATAGATAAGTATAGCAACCTCCGCAAAAATTTTGCCATAATGAGGGTTTGGGGGAATGAACGTACAATTTGCTGTTAATTCTGTTTTGTGTGACCAGAAATTATAAAGGCCAAAAAGGGAAATTTGTTAAACCTTGCTCACATGTTCAGGTGATCAGATTACATCTTGTATTGCTGCTATGAAGCAAATAAACTTTGTTTATAAGAACAAACTTTGTATGGTGTGATCAAGGAAATAGATTTTATGTTTGCTTGTCATTGTTTCATGCAAAATTTGTCCTACGTGGCTTTGAAGGGACACATTTTACAAACGATATTTTATGGTATGATCATGACGGTTGTATCAAGCATTGTTGACTTATCTAATTTTGTTTGCTTGAAAATGTTTCATCGCTTTCAAATTTCTAGAAAAGATTTCTGAGAAAGAAAGAAAGCATTTTTGGCGGGGTACTATAGTCTGGAAACGATAGGAACAAAAAGGATTGTTCATTGGAAACAAAGGATTTTGATAATTTTTGAAGGGGCACAAACTCCCTAGTAGCAATGGCCTTGTACTATTGTGTTGTCATTACTTTTTCTCTTACTGTTTGTGGGTCATATTGACGAACATCTCAAACCAAAAATTGCAGGTAGCTCCACTGTGTTCATCAATAGCTGGATTTTGACTGGAGGTTTTGGTTGATGTAATATTTAGTTGCGAAGCTTTAATGTATCGGTACTTGAAAGCGCTCACACATTTTTCGAGAAATCTGAGCATAGCAATGTGATTACATCAAGGCGAAATGATTTCCCAGAAGTGTGAGATGGACGCGTCCAGGCAAGTACCTCTTTGCTGACGCCATTGATGGTTATGGAGTAAGAGTAGAGCAGAATTTCGTTTCCTTGTTTGCTGGGCCAATGTAGCTTATCTTGTGGGCTCCACTTTAAGGCGTTGCTCTTCGATCATTGCTGTGCTCTATGATCAACCTAAACAAATGGGGCATCGATAAGGGCGTTTTTGTGTCATTACTTTTAATTATTACTAGTTGGAAGCATGTGCAAGAAGTTAATTGATATCAAATTTATGTAATATGTCACTTTAAGGCATTTTGTTTAATGAATTGTTAACCGTACAAAGTAGTCAGGTGTGTGGGTGTGAGATTCGACAAAGGATAGCCATGTAAATAGTTATGTGAAAATATATGGAAAAGATCCAATGGTGTCATTGCAGTGACTGGTAGACTGATTAAGAAAAGAGGTTTGCAGTGGAGAGCTCGTGGCACTGACTTTGAAAGCCCCCACAGCCTCATTCATTTTCATCCTAGCTACACTATGTATTTGTTGCCGATCCGTTCATATTCATTGAGCGTTTGTTGCTTTAAACGGTTCTCAGTTTGGAGACTGTTTTATGCGCGCTGAATAACGTTCGCCTGCAATTGAGGATTCTGAGGCGTATTCTGGCGTATTTTGCTTTGTAAGGCTGGTGTTGTAAAGACTTTATGTATCTTTCTGGATTCTCAGGGCAGAGATGATGAAGACACCATGATGACGTTTTATATTTATATGCAATATTCATATAAGGCCTAATTATGACTAACCGGTTGATGATTACTTGACAAATCCGTGTGAGTTACTCCTTACCACTCCACTGGCCTACGCCAGGGAGTGGCTGTCTCTAATATATATCCTTTCTACTGGAGCTCCTCCTCGTAAACTAACTACAATTCTTGCTGCAGTACCTACTATGCCCATGTGTGTGTTTCCGTTATAACCTTGTATGGCATAATGACCTTTGCACTTACCATTAATACTATTCTGAACGCGAACGCGACACGAACGTATATTATTGAACGCTAAAAAACCAAAACTTAACTTCACAACAGCTGGAGCCCCCAATAATTGTCAAGCTGTACTATATTTCCTTTATAAATGTGTACTGAGTTCAGCTCAGCGAAGTAAAATTAACCCTAACTCTTTTAAAATCTTTACTTACCATAAGCTCGCCCCTTCCTAAGTTGCAGGTTAGAATACCGAAATGTTCACGAGGAACTAAAGGCTCAAGTCTCAACGACCAACTTCTAACTTAGGCTAGTTAATATTAAACATCAATTTGAATAAATCAAGAGGACTGTATAAAGATCAAATGAGTAAGAACAGGCATGGCGCCACTGCTAAAGCCCCACCCCCCTTTTCAGAGATAAAAATGTTTTGACCGTCTTTTTAATAATTTTTGAAATCAGAGTATGAAATAAAGAGGGAACAAACTGTTTATGTACTGCTTGATTTTATTTGATTCTATTTGATTCTAGCTTATTTATGTATATTCCTATTATTTGTCTGTTATTTGCATCAATTCTGCAGATACCTTTCTTTATAATTGCAATGCTTGCATTTTGGATGTGTAAAAATGGCTTGCTGAAAATACTCTAGACAAAGAAATTGCACATTTCTGTTCAGGAAGTAAAATGTTTTCATGATTCATCCTTTCTTTCTGTCCCCAATGTCTGTCACTAGAGTTTTAGCATGTCTTCTCACCTCCCAAATTTTTCCTTAAAATCAATAATTTTCTGGGAATCGTCGAATTTTCTATTCTGAGCGGTATAGTAATTTGCTAAATTTTAGTCTGGGAGATATATTTTGAGCCATTCCAGAAGGCTTATTTTTAAAAAATGTTCTTCCATGTCGGACCCAACCATGGTGTTCTCCTAGACTTAATACTTAGCGCCCTCCCCCCAGTTTCAATTTTGTGGCGCCGTCCCTAAAGAATTCGTTAAAGAGTATATGCGCAGCATAAAGCGTAACGATGAAGGTTCGAATGTATATACACATAAACGAGGGCACTTGAGTTTCTTGAAGTTGTTCTTCAGATCTCAGATATCGTTCTTGCGACCTTCGTTTTAGATTTCCCTTCGTGGTGAGTTTTCTCTTTCTTTTGTTTCGTTTCCCTTAAGTATCACAGTCACAATTTAGTTCAATGTTCAAAAATTATTTCTTATGCTCATATTGCTAGCTCCACATGAAACACCCATCATTTACATCAAAAAATATATACAACCCCAGAACATACATCCTGACACCACAAGACTCCAGCCTCGCTTTATCAATCTCAGATTTGTCTACACTACTATTAGATAATCGGGGCTAAAGTGGCGTTGAATTAATGACAGATTCATTAATTTACAGGCGGGTAAAATAGCATACAATCTCAAAATCTATCAAAAATTTTCACTTATATTCTTACCCTTCCACGAAACACAGGAATTTCCAATAACACCTATTTTGATTAACAAAGATAAACACGTTTATTAACACACCTTCTTTTGAGCGCCCCCTGATTTCTATGCTATCCTAAGTGATCATCAAAACGACATCAGAAAATAATGTCCTTGCAGTCCTTCCAGGTTGCAATTTGCAGTAACATTTTTCATGATCCGCATGTTTTATTCTAAGATAAAGTGTATGTTATCTAGTGGAAGAAAGTTTTTGTTCTACATATGAAAGTCCCTGGCTGGAAAAAATGTGAGACACCCTAAACCTCATCATTTTTAATCGGTTTGAGGAACTTTTTCAGATTATTATTTAGATCACACGCTAGAAAAGGGTGAACAGGGTGAACACTTTTCTAGCCTTTGTTCATTTTTAATACATGCAATAATGAGACACAAAATTCTTTATTGACAAATTCCATTGTAGGTGATATCCACCTAGGAGTGCAAAGCGGCGCATTGCGAATCAACCTTTCTCCTGTAGATGCAGTTTTGAAAATACCTATAGATCTATTACTTCAAACGATGTGATTCAAATACCGCTTTTTTCCAACACAGCCTATTTACTGAGAAAAGATAAATAATACGGTCGTCTTGAAAACGACAGAGTTCGAAAATGTGTAGATAATTGCAAGTGCAGTTTGGTGTTTATTGTCGAGAAAAAGGGAGAAAAAATGGCTATTTGGACATTGGCTATTTCCTGTAATTCTTAACCATGTGTTTAGCGCGTTTTATATGCCTGTGTTCTCTAGCTTGTTGATTTCATTCAGAACTACTTAACTTTCCTAGGAGTATCCTTGCCCAGATGGACAATTTCTTAATACGTTGAAATACGTGTGCGAGAAATGCAAGGTCTGCTTGCCAGGCGAATACGTGAGCAGACCTTGTAATAGCGTGGATGATGCAGAGTGTGTTCGATGCCCAAATGTGAGTATGCTTCTTGTACAATACATTTCTTGACTAGCACCAGACACCTCCTTGCTCACATTGTGCTATGTTTGTTTCTTCTCTATACAGTAGCGTAGCGAGGGGGAGGCAAGAGAGGGCGTATTACCCTCCGCCCCATAGCAAAGATATCTATGTAAAAGTGCGTTTTTTGCAATCACAGAAGGTTTGAACCACAAATTTACCCTTGCTCATCTCGCCTCTGACCCCCTCCCCCAATGTTGCCGCCCTGGCTACGCTACTGTTTCTATACTATTTTTTGTTTGCCAACCAAACTCTTGATTAAGGCCAAACATTTTTCATGTTTTTTAAATTTAATATTGAAATACGGCATCATTAGTATGACTTTATATAAAAGCAATGTATACAGTGGTTCAATTAACTTAATTCTAGAAAAGGAAAGGGCTCCTCAAAGTCATGCCAAAAGATATGTCCCCTCTAAAAATGTAATACGTAAAAGACTTTAAATACATCGGAGTCTATTCTCATGCATATACTTGATAAACCCTTGGTGAATAAAATGCAAGTTGTGAAAATCCTGTTTGCTCCAAAACAAAATAGCTTTTAGTGTCAGTATGATGTTGGCAATTAGACTAATACATTTTTTCCTATATAGGGTACATTTTCTGCAAAACCAAACCTTCGCCAGTGCAGAAATTGCACTACTTGCAAAGTGACGTCTTACATATATCTTTGCAATTCGACATCAGATGCCGTTTGCTTGTTGGAGGAGCCGGAGAAGAGCAGTAAGCAAGGTATAGTATTGTTTTAGAATAATATTCTATTAGCTCTTTCGTACCCACGATTCCGTGGCTACGTCATCGTTAGATTTGTTCTGAAAATTGCAATGTATTTGATAGAATATCTTATACACGATACCCCGCACCTGGTATTGTAGTAAATCCTTGTTTGGTAACGAAATTCATTGTTCCTAATTATGATCGTTAATTAACTCATATTCAATACCCCATGGATAGATTGCTTTAAGAGAGGCAAAATGCCTTTTTCAAAGATAAACATCTGAAGGATGAAGTGTAGGTAAAATTGTAAATTCTTTCAACTATTTTCTCAACTGTCGCGAAAGCCATATCATTCGTGGATTTTCTTTCCAGATGTCTTCAGCCTGGCATTAGGACTGATAATCACGATAATATCTGTGGTCGTCTTAGCTTGTGCCATAATTTACTCCGTTAGACGCAGAAGGCGGCGAAACTGCGAGGCGTCTACTCAGGGAGAAAGTGAGTAGAAAATTATTTATTCTGAAATAAAATGGACTTTTATCATGTTCAATTTCTAGATTAGATCTGTGTTTAGATTCTGCAATTTTGTGCTGGAATGTTCTTCTGATTCTTCTTGATATGATCTTTAAAGGAAATCTTTATTTAAGGTATGCTGTTATAGGTGTTATATGGGATCTCGTAATGGTGCAGATTCCAGCGAGTTACGGAAAATATTCCCTGGGTACCAGGAGTGAGTCTGGTACATAGGGTACGAAAAATAAGTCAGATTTTTACTACAATGATTGCACGAACACATTTATGTGGCTTTAAAGCACAGTCTCCTGAATTGAGGTATTTTATGATTTAGTCCCCTTTTGAGAATTAAAGTTATAAAAGTGTTTAACGTTTGTTTTTAGCTGAAATGATGGCTATTCCTGAGCCTGGGCCGGAAGAAGATGCGGGGGCATGATGACACAAGAGGACGACCCCTTTTATGCAATATCAAATGTGGTTAAAACGTAGGTACACATGAATGACACACGCAAACTACCCTTTAACTACACCCAAGTCCTTTACATTCAATGTCTTTTCATATTGACGAACAATTGTTGGTACCCATAGATTCTATTGCTAGAAGCTTCCGTTAAAAAACATCTTTAAGAAAAGAAATGGATTTAATCTTAAAAAGATTGCTCTCTTCAAGAGAAATGTACTAAGAATCCTCATCTGCACTTTAATATCTTACAAAACTCCCCTTCATCTACCACGGATATGCATTTGTAAATTTTTGAACGATTATTTTGTAACTTATTTTGTATGCGTAATGTCGTTACGTTGTATTAGATAAAGGGGAGTTTTATTAAGACCTTTTAGTCATTAATTTGGTTTGTTATATTTGGGGATTCTTGTTACGTATGTGAATTCTTAAATATCTGTAGAATTGATTAATGCTAAGCCGAATTTGCATCAGATAGTAATTTTATAGAACATTAATTATTCTTGGTAAGTTAAATTGTAAAATTGAATGTTTAATTGTGACATTTCTCGAATCTTCTCCTTATGAATAAAACGGTGTATTCCGTAAACCGAATACCTTTCATTTGGCGCAAACAATTTTTCAGCATAGACAATCACCCCTTTTCTCTGTAGTTTAAAGTTTGCGATGATTTTCACAGCTCTGAAACTTAATCTTGGTACAGATCTTGAAAGGCACTTGTCCATCAAGAGTAAGACTACTTGTAAAACATGCAAGAAAATTTTTTCGAGTGCATTTCGTAAAACATTAATATGTTGCTCACGTTGCATTTAAAACCCAGTAAATATGATCAGTGTTAAGTTTTTTTTCTTCTGGGTGTGGGGCAAAGCCCTGACTCTGTCGCAAAGGGCTTTCAATTTCGGGAAATCTTGTTTGGCTTTTTCTGAAACGTTTCCTTCAAAACCACATGGTTCTGAACAGGGGCGCCAGCACAAGATTAAGGCAGGGATGGCAGTGTTGGTGCTAAGGCAAAAAGTGGAATCTTTTCACTACCGTAATAGAGTACTTGTGAGGGCAAGTGGTACAAAATAACATATTTGCATGCATCTGTGCCACCCATACAATTGGGTTTTTTGCAATCAAAGGCTCTACGCATGGGCATAGTGTTGAGAAAATTATCCATGGAATTGGGTATTAAATGGCCTTATCATTATTCGAAATGTTTGGTTTTACAGAAGTCATGGCAATTATAAATGAGTTTACAGAACTTTGATTGTCCGCTTGTCTGCAGAATCATTGAGAATGTAAAAAGAGAAAAAATGTTAATCACAACAAATTTAAGGGCACTGCTTGCCCCCATTGCCCCTCCTGGAATAGGGCAGGAGGGGCAGCTGCCCCTGCAGGGTAGGCATCCCTGGTTCTGAAGAAATCTTAATCGGCCAAAGCAACTTGGAAGAAAAAGAACTAATTAGATTTGCTTTCGCTTACATGTCAAACTTTAATCATTACCCACTCGATGACGACACCATTTTTAGTTGTAAGGCGAAACAAGAAAAAGAGCATATTTACAAGAGAATTTGAATGGTATCTATGAGAATATTGTGTATCTTGCTAAGGGTTTGGAAGCTTTTCTTACTCGGATTGGACGGCGCATCTTACACTAAAACAATCCATTCTAATTGAAATATCTAAAAAGAGTATTGCCCTCTTCCAGATATAAACTAGGCATTGCTGTGCATCCTTTTCCAATTTAGAGGAGACAATGCCCCATTACAGAAACCACAGTTTAAAGCACGGTAGCTGTTGATGGTGGTGTAGTCAGCAGGATATGTAGGGGGTGTTACAGCCCCCCCTCCCAGTTGGCCTGGAGATCTTCAATTGGTTCACAAAATCCTTAGTTCTTCGGTAAATTAGTTGGTTCGTCGGTTAAATTGCCCATCGGTAGGTGAAATAGACCTTAACTTTTCAAACAATCTTTTTGTGGTACAAAACTTGAAGATGGCTTTGAAAAATGCAGTTTATACCTAGCTGTGGATCGAAATAGGCGAATCAGAAACGCGAGTACATGACTGTTGAGGTTGACCAATCAGTGCCATTTGTCTATTGAGAATGTTTCCAATGGGGTCCTAAGGTGAAAACGAACTCTTTTTGTCTACATCAATAGCGGTTTTTTCGTGCTTATGTAGATGGATTCCAAAACTGCTATTAACCTAAACTTTCCTTCATCTATGTCTTCAACGGTTGGTTTTACTATTGATGACCCTCTAACCCTTTGTCTGCAACGTCGACCTACGCCACTGGTTTTTGTGTACGAGAGAGCTGGATACCAAAGGAGTAAGAATAAGAATAGCGATACCGAAAGGTCATAAAATACCCTATTATCCTGCACATAAGCCCGCCCTGGATAAAGGAAGACCCATGGGCTTATACTTATTCCCGGGTGTAGGCCCATTAAGCGAGAGACTTCATTTCGTGACGAGGACGTAAAAGATACTTCAGAATACAGATTCTTCAAAAAGATCAAATAATTCTCTTTTGATAATATCTTTGACTATACACTCTGCCTTTTTCAGATATGTGTCTGGTTGCTTAAGAACGTTTTTGCATGGGACCTCTAAACACGACTAACAATAGAAAGCGACCAAATTTCTTAATACACATGATGGCCTGACTGAAGATACCAAAAACATTTTAAGCCTCAGACCCGCCACTGAGCACTCAAGGTCCTCCGCTACCAGTTTTAATCTTTTGGGCGAGGGCAGACAGGTGTAGAATTTTTTCATTATACTCCCTAGCCCCCGTTGTTGAGTACGTTTTGCTGGTGCTATCTAACATGTGGAATGTATTGTTTCAACTACAGGCTTTAAATGTGACAATTTGAGCTAACTGAACTCTTTTATTTAACAAAGTTGTGGGAGGGTCATGGCCTCCGGCCCTTTTCTGTGGCAAAGGCCCAGGACAACTTACAATATACCGATCTGATAATAAAAACTTCATCTAGAATGTTTCATATCTGAAATCTCATAACCCTTGAGACACAGTCCTTTGACTAAAGTGGAAATTAGAGCTAAAGAAAACCATGCTTTACACAGAGGCTGCAGTTTATATTTGAAAATAGAGACGGGAGATTCTAAAGCAAAGAAACTATCTTCTTTCTGAATTGTTAAATTAAGATCCAGTAAATTCTTTGAACACATTCTTCTCTGAAATTGTTGGATCCACAATAAATTTTTCTTATTTTCATTTTCTGCTACATATTCCTGGGAAGGTCAAAAAGCCTACAGCAAAGCTCTCACAGGGAAAAAGAGTTGGGACTTGGAAGAGAAGAAGGAAATATCAAGTTTGTTGATTTTTTTTTAATAAAATATAAGATTCTGGGAAGCAGGAAGTGGATAGAGCGTTTCTGAGTTTCCAAGATCTTGAGAGGAAGGATGATTTTTGAGACAGAGATCGTGAACTTTGCAAAGATTCTTGGAATGAGTGAGCACTGGAAAGGTATCTTGTATTACGTACATGTTTCAAGGATCATATCCCCAAACTCCTGAGAGCAACGTCAGTGGTGAAATCTTTAAAAAGTTGAGAGACTAAGGGCACAACTCCGATGAGTGAGAGGCTGAAGAAACTGAGGCTGCAGTAGTTGTTGATGAGGCGAATTGCTTTGGATTTGATTTTGTCGAGGAGGCATAGTCAAGATTTAGAGGCACCCTCCTCCCCCCTCCCCAATATGGGAGCAGTACACCAGGGCAGGACGAATTGGGGACTTGTTAATTGTTAAAAGTTGTAATGGTGAGAAGAAACCACGTGCTCTAGAGAGGAACCCAAGTTTTTGAGAGGAATGTTAAGCAATAGAAGAAATATGAGTTTTCCAATGGAGGTTGGATTGCAAGTACAATTTCTATTATAAAAGCAGATCATTAGAAGAAATTTCTTCCCCCTTTTTCTTGGTCTTTAATTATCAACTAACTTCCGATTAGGTCCCTTCAATTAAAAGTTTGCCTTCCTCTAGTTAATATATAATACCTTTTCTCTTCCTCTCTCTGCTTGTTAGCGTATGAAAACTGTTTACTTATGTTGCGTAAACCATCAAGCAACATATCAATTTTTGCCTGTTCCATATTGGTTTTACCGTTTAGACCTGCAAAATGACAACCTTGGCGTTTGAATGATGTAAGAAAACAAAAGAGGATAAAAAACAGTGAAAGGGGAAGAAGAAACACCAAGAAATAAAAAGTCATAGAGAGGTAGCCCCTTGGTTTTGGCCTTTTACGCAAGAAAAGTAAATCTTCGATTACAGGCCCTACTCTTTCAAATGCCACATTTATACATTCCCTATTAAGGCCAGCTTAGGTAAATGATCGACCCTTCTTTTAATTCCCCTCTTTTAGACAATCCAAGAAATCAAGAGGGATTTAATTAGTACATGTAGACTTCATGGCTCTACAAGATGATAGAGCAACAAACAAAATCAAGATATGGAAAACATTTCCACTTATTCCTTTTATTACAAACGAAAAAGCCGCTATTGTGTAGACAGTAGGAGTTTGTTTTTCCCTTGGACTTGTACTGATTGGACAACTATACCGGTCACGTGCTTGCATTTTTCTGATTGGCCTATTTCGATCCATATAACTGGGTATATAATTTCCATCGTGTTTTTAGGACCGCGGAGAAGGGGGTTGTGGGTAGGGAGTTTTTTGCAAAAAACGCCAAATATTGAGTAATAAACCACCAAGAAAGCCTCTTTTTATAGAGTTTTAGCCCCCCCCCACTTTTAGACCCCCCACTTTTCTCAACGCTCCGCGGTTCCTTTGCACTGTAGCCAGCCTGAAGTTGAATCATTTTTCAGCTTTCTAGGACTCATTCGTCAAAATAACTGTCTTTGTTTGTATAATATAATAGTGTTGTTTATGTTCCTTTGCATTTTTACATTATATTCTCGAGTAGACTAAGAGAATTAATTTGGTTTAAGGTGTCTCTTCTTGATAACATCTCTTGGCCACAAAAGCACTCTCTTTTGCTGCTGATTGGTATGGATATTTTAAAAATATTTGTTCTAACAGAGACGTTGGAGCACAGTTTGGAGTGTGGGGAAGGGGTGGATTCTAGACAAATAAACAGAGTTTAGGCAGTTTTCCCCCATAATCATTGATGCCACTGTAGTGTTTATAATACACATTGTGTTTAGCCACTACCTAAATATCATAGTTCAGCAAAAATGTGAAGGAGGCTATAAGTAAGTACAATTCTACAAGTAAGTACTTGCATCGACATTAGAAAATTTGTTGTGAAATCCACCTACTTTTTCAAGAAACTTGTTGCAGGAAAAGAGTACTTGACGTTACGATAATAGTTACGCCAACCTGCTGTTACTTATAAAAATGAGTGTAGCTGTATTTAGAGCGAGGAAAAGGAAGGGCATTGACCAGATTTTGTAACTTCTTGCCACTTGCCAATGCAACTGAAGATATTTACACTCATTTTTTTATAAGAAACTGGCTATAAGAAACGAGTACTGGACAGTCAGAAATAATTAAAAAACTTCAGTACTCGAAGCAAAAAATTAAGAAACTATTAAATCGTGATAAAACTGAGAACAACGAAATTTTGTAAAATCCAAGAACAAGATATCCCTGTTGGCCTAGAACTTAAGACACAAGGGATAAAAATATACTTCCCATATCTAAATACAGCATCGGAACGGAAGCGAATCTCTTGACGTCATAAAAAAAGTCACGAACGTTTCATAACATTATTCATGACATCATGATAATTAAGAAACTCTCAAGAAACAATGAGTATTGAAATTTCCAGAACATTAAGAAACTGGAGTACTCAACGTCGACCTTTGTTTCTTAGAAAAGAAATGAGTGTTTAGACCATGCATAACCGCGTAAAATGCAAGTCTTAATTACTGTTTTGTCTTGTTATCATAAAATTACATCACGAAATACGGCAGTTTCGTCGACGCTGTGTTCACTTTTTCCTCAAACATAAGCAATTACGTATAGCTCAAGGAAGGAAATTGATACCAGACGTTTTCGGTGCATAGCGTAGCTTGACCGATGAAGATGTAGATGAAGAGAAATTTGGGTTCTACTTCACCTACCGATAGACGACTTAACCGACAAACCAGGGATTTTTGCACCGATTGGAGTTTTACCGACAAGATCATGAATTGGGGGGGGGGGGGGTTCACACCCCCTACACCCACCGCTAGCTACGCCCCTAGATACATGAACTCAAAACAGGCCTCTTCATGAATTGGGCGACAGGAAGGTGATCCTGAAGCAGGGGCGTTGAGAGGGAGGGTTAGAAGGGGCAAAAGGTCAGGGGCCCGTGCTCCGATGGGGCCAGTAATAATTTGATAAGATCTATTTACAATACAGTAAAATCTATGTATTATATGTAACCAAGGCTTATCGGTTTATCGCAGAGAAATGCCCACATGTCATTTATTCATGTAAAATGTTTTTGCACACTCTTGTAAAACCTCCTAAAACTTTTTCAACCATTGCAACTGAAAAGAACGTTTCCCGAATTTACCAGGAGAATGAAGAGCGTGGCCATAGGAAATTTTCTTAAGGGGGTCCTGTTTTGTGATTGACCCCTGGGCCCGAGCTGCCTCTCGCCGGCCCTGCCCTGAAGGTACCGCTCGAATAGACCAAGTTTGCCATAGGAAAGAATCAACATGGAAACATATCATTCCTATTTTTAGCAAGAAAGCAAAATTCAAAACTGGATATTTGTATCACTTTCATAATTGTCACGTTTGGATTGACCAACTATGGATTGATGCATATAATTTTGCTACCTGAGGCCCAATAAGAACCTTGCTATGACGAATGTTAACCGACAGGAACTAAGTTGTCAGGTGTATGGATCCACGCAAAGGAAAAACATCTCGGGTTTTTCCTTGTAAGATGATACCCCGTGTTAATGAAACATTCCTTTGAATTAGCTATTGGCCCTTGAAATGCCATTGAAACCTTGGGCGGGGGTGTTTCTTTATCTCTTTATCCTTTCGGGATATAAAATTGGCTGACTAATCACACTTTCAGCATAAAGTTGATTAGCATATTGTTTTGGTGGCACTTTTGGGACTGTTTCTTTCAAAACACCTGTACCTTTGAATAACTCGTGTACATAACCAAGCACTTAGTCAAAGGAAGGTAGAATTTGTCTTGGACTTCTATCTAAGGAAGAGAGTCTAGGTAAGATATTTCTGTATTTTTAATCAATATTTACTAAATGTATATCAGACAATCGTAAGCTAGAAACGTATACTTATGAGAATTGAACAGAGGTAGAGCAAGAATTATGTTTAATTTTTATAGAAAACTTTCCAACTCGCCGAAAGGGTTACAGCCCCGTCCAAGCTTAACAGACATTTCTAATCTGCAATTTGTCTAACTCTGTAATGTAAATGCTAGGGCAGATCCGTCTATGCGTTTCCTTGCCGAAATTTGAAACTAAGTTTAGGTATAAATACTTTTTATTGTACCCATTACAACTTATGGCTATCTTTCCCTCGTATTTCAAAGAGCCGACTGAATTTTGAGCATGATTCAGACACGTGTGAAGGTTCCCAAATACTGAAACTAGGAAATGACATAAATTCTACTTTGATTCAGAGAGGAGAACTTAATGGGCTTACATTCATAATTTTTTGCAGTCACTACGCTGTAGAGGGAGAGGGGCAAAATTTAAAAAATTTAGACAACGCTCTTGTTATTATGAGAAAACACTTTTACCAACAAGAAATGCCCATGTTGGTTTTGGTTACGTTAAAGTATTTTCAAAATCATAGAATCGCACCACCTTCCAAATTTTACCCCTCCACAGCATTTTCTCATCGACGCAATGCGAAATCAATCCGGCTGAGAACTGGGGGGACGTGTCCCCAAGTTCCCCGTGGCACCATCTAGGATTTTTGCATACTTAATCTTAGGTATCTCATGCTACAACAAAAAAGGGTTACGGATGAACGTCGGCCTGTAAGGGAGATGCTCCCCTATTCTCTTGAGACAACTCCTTTGGCCTCCATAGTTTCGTTTCTATTGACTTTTTATTGAAAAATTTATGAAAGATATGAAAAAGATATACATATAGTTATAAAAGATATGAATCTGTCTAGGGAAAAGTACCCCATTCTAAAAATAGAGCAAGGGGAAATTTTTCAGTTAAGATCTATATCCGATCTTTTTCCTATTTAAAGTGAAAGTATGACAATGACTTGCTCAGGGGCCTGGAGTCAAATACTCCAGTCCTCATTAGTCTATTACTCATTAGTCAAAGAAAGCACAAGGGATAATTTTTCCAGATTGCGTTTATAACCTATTTCTCTCAGCCTATCAAAGCGCCGATCTCTCCCAAGTTTTATGTAAGTATTGCAATTTAAGAAGATAATATGACAAAAGCTTTCACTGGGGAATGGAGTCTAATACCCTAGTCTAAATATAGCACAAGGGGGCATTTGCCAGATAGGGACCACATCCGATCCTTCTCAGCATATTAAACTGCCCATCTCTACCAAGTTTTATTCCGGTATCACATTTGGCCTCATTGGGCTATTTTCATGTGCTAAAAGCCCTGACTATGTTGTGCTATCGTCAGGCGGGGACGTGTCTAAAATGAAAGCCAGTAGAGCCAGGGTGGAAACCAGAAAGTTCTTGGGCAGCTGGGGGGATGGGGTGGATGTCGACTATAAATTTACCTGATTGAAAAATTATTGCCTGAAATTCTTTAGTTGCTGCCACAAACCTCTGCAATACATTTTACCAATCCAATCTGTGTATAATTCACAACTATAATTTTTATATGATAATAACGGACTTTCCCAAAAGTTCTGTTAGGTCTCTGTTATAATTGTTAACATTTAATCAAATTGCGTAGGATTTTCCTTCTTAGCCCACCTACGATGATCTTTTTATGTCGTTAAACACGCCCCCATTATTTAGATCGGTTACCGTATTTACCCATCATTTCCCATGTATAAACAATCATCTTCATGCAACAAACATAAACAATCAATCAGCCCTAGCTTCGTAGCCAAAAGCCAGCTATCTTGCAAAGAGATATTTCTCTTCTCACCCTTGTAATGCTGCTGGGAAGACATCTCAATCCAAACCATTACAAGGGCACATGTTTTGAAGTTTGGACACCGTACTGAAACTTGATTTATACAAATTATTTAATAGAAACAAGCGACACTGAACGGCACAAATTCATAGCATTCAAGGTCGGTCAGCAGAAGTCATGTTCGGTGAAACTCGAAGATCGCTGGTCCACTTTAGAAAAATTCCAATGTCATTTACTGCATATAAAAAGCCTCAAACGTGAAGGGCAACCAGAATCAGTGTCCTTGGTGATTACATAACTCCTTTAATACTGACAGCTCATTCGACTTTCCAGGAATTTCTTTAAGTCGAAAAGCACAGGATTTTTGATGAGGCTCCAATCTGTTTCATTGCCACCAAGAATTACCCACCTCTTAGAAACTTTCTACCATTAAAAAACTGCTGTGGTTTTACCGAATTTCTGATAACCTGAAGTATTTGTGCAAAATAATCAACTTGTTCGCCATACAATGTTTACCCATCCAATACCCCACGCACCTTTGAATCTGAAATTGAAAGGACACTTGCTTTCATGTCACAATGACGATGCAAGTTTCAAGCCTGTAAGCAGGCTCCATCAGATGTAAATATTCCATATTCTTTTAACGGTTTTTAGTTCTAACATCGCTTTTCTATCTCACTTGATAACGGGCTATGCTCGAAACGTCGTTAATTATTTTAAAAAGAAAAAAAATAAATTTTCCTGGTACAATTTACCTACATTGATCGTTATTTAAATTCATCATATTGTACCGCACGCATTTTAGTCTATTCATCAGATGTATATTTGAAGACGCTGCAAGACATGGCAAAATGTTCGTAGGAGTTTTCAAGAAGGGAGGCTTTGAAATAGGCCTAGTCTCATGCTTTAGAATGAGGTCTGTAGCTTGGTTTGTAAAATGCTACGTGGAAATCTCTGAATTAAATTTGCGAATAACATGCACATAGCTTTACAGGTTAGTTAAATACGAAACCAACTTAAAAAGAACATGCTGGTTGTACTTCGCAATTACACACTTTTTAATTTCTAGGAACATAGCTCGTTGTTTTTGAAGTTCCTTATTTTTGGACCTTTTTTATTGAATCGTAATACTTAAGTTCCTTAATAGTTTAAGTACATATAAAAGTTGCACATAATGTACAGTAGGATTCTTTATTAGTGTCGTTAGCTAGGAACAAGGTGAACAACAGAAAGCAGACTAGAACGACATTTGATATATGAAAAAGTGGAAATTCAATCAAAAACGAAAATGAAACACTCGAAATTTCACAATGAAACACTCGATAGCTATCTTCGTAACACACAATTTATGTGGTTTTTAGCTCCAAATGAATGGAACTGGCATCCTAATTCGTGATTGTTTGCAATGATATAAATATTAATTAAAAAACGAAAAGTTCCTTAGGGATTTTGTCCTAAGTACTAAATTCTTTCTGCCTTCTACCTGTAGGTTCCTTATAAAGTAACTACTTAAAAGTAAAAAATCGTGTAGAGTGGGTATAATTTATGTCAGTTTATCATGTAATGCAGCAATAAAGCTAAATTTATTCGTTTTATGCCTACACTTAACACGTAATTAACTTGTTATTGATTTATTTGTAGAATGTAGAATCGTTTAAGAAAATAAACTAATATACTGTTGATCTGAAAAAGTTAAACTTCTATAGAGAGTCACCAGCCCAGAAAACTGGTGTAAATGACACGCCCGTTTAACTTTGAAACTTGCGGTGGAAACTTAGGCAGGTGTGGCAAAATGAAGGACTAAGCTATTAGTTCATAGTTAGCCACCTAACCCCCCCCCCTTCCGCGCGCCAGTTGTATTGTGGTAGAGCAATTGAGAACAAGCAGTTTCAAACCAAGAGAAACTCATCCTAAACTTTTATTACTATCATCCTAAACTTTTATTACTATCAGCTTGTAGCCTCCTGCAACAACTCTCCTAACAATCTTAATTACACCGCTTTAATAAGTAAATGAGCACACTGGTCATGTTAGGTTATAGAAGGTTACAGTTATTAAAAACACGTAAGAAGTGATTTAATTTGACTACAGTATCCATCGATGTTTTCTAAAAAACGGCTCTTCGCGAGGTGTTGCTGAATTTCACAAATACATGCCCCAGAGATTCTGAATGCGTATTCCCCGGAATTAGAATTCCATGAACAAATTTCAATGCACAATAACTTATACGATTCATTTTGATTAGCGCAATAGTCGGCATAAGAAATTTTGTAGGCTTGACGTGAAATAATCACAGAAGTTGTTCAAATACTTATAGCAGCATTATTATGATTTACTGTAACAAAGAGCAAAGACTTCCTTATAAGGTCAAGGGTAAATAATCATCACGTGAACCTTTCAAATCACGAAGAGTTACCTTCTGTTTTCAAGAAATGATGTAACTTTTCTTGTATCAAACAAGAAACATGCCATTTTTCCTACGCAGAGGCATAACGCCTTAGTGGTAACTGTTTCACCGCCGTTTTCACCCCTTAGGTTCCAGTAGATCACCATCACCTTTAATCGCATTTAGGTGGCACCTACCTAAGAATTTACCTGGTCTATATTGTGTGTTGTAGAAAAAATTGCAGTACTTTTTTAAAAAAATCTTTCCTTGACAAGGTCTGATGAGCACGATATTGGCAAAACGGAACATGAGATTAAGGAAGCAAATTATCCCATCTCTTTGTCTTGTTGGGCATATTACAATTCTTCACATATTGAAAGGGCTGAAAAGGAAGTAAAACAATTGAGAAGACAGCATTTCTTCTTATTTTCAGGAACCAGCGCAGAGGAAAACATAAAGTTCCTGGCATGAGTAGACGAAGCACAACCCAGCTGGAGAAGGTAGAAAAATTCTAAACAACAACAAACGACAACGCTGCAGTAAATAAAAGTGTCATATCAAGTGTGGTTTTTAGAATTTTATTGCACATGTGCTTGGTTTCAATTTTGGTCAAAGATTTCATGTTGCCATTTTAAAGTGGGTCGCAAATTACTTCTAAAGAAACCGAAAGAACTTTTATCACCTGTCTCCTGCCACGCCGAGCATTGGACAGATCAGCGCGTTCCTTTATGTTATAGTAATTTTCTTTGCAAATCAGTAGTTTGCTTGTTGGCGCTCAGACGAGTGTGGTTATTAATAATTAAAGGCAGGGCGTTGTGGCAGGTTGTGCTAAAGGGGCAAGAGAGCTGCAAATGAGGCAAGATAAGGCCACAATATATCACTATTAGAATGGAGCAAAACCATAGGTTATGCGAAGTTTCGACACAGCCTGTAGCGAGTATAACCAAGGACGAAAAACGTAATGCAATCGTTATTGTAAAGCCGACATTTGATCATGTACCTGTTTTATCAAGCAGCTATCAAGCCTCGTCGCTTACTTTAAGAGAAACATGCCTGGATAATCGTGCAGCCGATGCTACCAAAGTAGACGAGCATTTGAGAACTGAAGCTACAGAAAATATCGAGAATATCAAAGAAATTTCGAACTTTGCAAAATCATTAGAACAAGAAGACAGTGGCGTAGTTCCAGTCGTAGCAGGCACCACGGTTTTGACAAACGAAGCGGTTGTCTGTGCGGAGGAACTGAATACCAGTGTAAAAAAAGCAAGAAGTTCGTGTTCACTTAAGCGTTATAGGACTAAGCCCAAAGAAAGACAGCGGTCGGATAGTCTTCCCCTTTATTTTGCAAATTTATCTGTTGCAGATTTGACATTACCAGTTTACGTAAACAACAGTCCATCTGGACATGATGACAGTGTTATTTCAGATGCACCATTTTTAGAACAGGGTATTTCTCGGAACTTGGTAGCAGTTACACCACCGCCAACGTACAGAAGCCTTATAAAGCAGACATTGGCCGATATACCACCTTCATATGAAAGCGTCACGGGCTTAAGTCTAAACGTCGCACAGGTAAGGTGTTTTGTTAGTTGTTCGTTTGTCGTACGAAACAGGTGCCTGGAAACGTTCATTCAACATTGATGAGGAGATTATCTTGTTTTCAATTGTAAGAAAGATAATTTGGGTTTATTGATAACCTACACCCAATGATTAACAATATTTTCTTCTCGTTTGCTGGAAATTAAGTGATTAGGTAGTTAATTTATCCTTGCATTTGCTTTAGGAGTTAAATGATAAAAAAGCTAGGTTTCACAACTGTTTAGACGATAATCTCTAAGTTTCACAGGCAGCTATTAATATACACGGAAATTTTGCATAGTTTGTGTTTGAATCAAATTCAGAAGCCATTCATAATCAGGACGACATATTATCCATTTTGTATAAGTTTTTCCCCAAGACCCAGAAGCATAAGCGCTGGCTGGGAAAATAAGAGCTTCAAGCAACAAACATTGTTTTGCTTGATATCGAAGAATGATGGGTGAACAGCGTACTATAACAACCCGATCACAACTCTTCGAAACCATATGTAACCTGCTCGTAGACTCGATTTGACGACTACACCATTTTTAATAAGAGTATCTAATTTTTTGCTTAGCCTTAATATTCTTATTTTTTCTATTTTGAGCCGAAGATTATTCTTAAATAATTCTTAAGCAACATAAGGTGCAACTGAGTCGCATTATAGTGTTCATAACTCCAAGTTCGGATACTTTTTACATATAGCGTGAAAATCACATTTGATTCCTTTCCAAAAAGAACTCAAGTAAACTTGATGCAGAGTCCAGAAAAGTTGTTAACCTTCCCCCAGACCAAAACATCCCGGAAGGCAAATCTTCCTCACAAAGCAATAGAATGTGGGGAATGTTTTCCCGACTCTGACTTGATGAAGCTTGAGCCTTGCATTTTTCTTAAATTATTCTTAAATTTCAGGGATTTTGAGTCTTAGTATTCATATGGACTATATTCTGTGCCACAGAAAAAACTGCAACCCGATTCCGAATGGGCTATACTGTGTTATTGGCACACACATGGCACAAAATTCTCAGTTCCGAATAAATACAGATCACCGCACTGTCGAGTCTGAGGGCAGACATAACCATATGATGATCCGAAAACAGTATGAATCAATATTTACTGTATGTGGTTGGGGAAGGAAATTACTGGAAATCTGCTAAGGTTTTCCTCAGTATACGAAGATTCGTAGCAGACGGTCGGGCAGTGGGCAAAATCCTCTTAGAAAATCTATCTTGTACTGAATCTTATTAAATTTATATGCCTTGCAAAAACTCTCTCGTGATCTTTTGCATGCGTTAATATCTTAACAAGATAAGACAAAGATTTTTATTGGCAAGGTCATTACCTTGAATCTAGTTATGCTGTCTACAGCACCAAATAGACTGTATATGGGGGAGGGGTGTTCACTCTACTACATGCTCCCATCTTTGAAGTTTAACGGCACCGCTCTTGTATGAAGAAGAAACTCAGTTGCAGGGGGTATCGTGGGGACAAATTTATTGACAATTAAGACAATACCTGTTAATTATTGCACATGGTTTCCTCAAGAAATTAAAAAATTTTATATGTCTACAGGACCCATCGACTCTGGCTGCAAAATCGAATTCAAGAAATAGTCGTTCGAATGCTATACAGCCACAGAGCAAAATAATTATAATCGTTATCATCTCAATTGTTATTCTTACGACACTGATTTTGGTCCTCGCCGAAGCATTTACGACGATGTGATGACTAAACGGTTCCTGAACAGAGCCGATTTAGCAAGTCACTGAAGAAAATCGCGATCTTAAAACCAGAAGAATGTGATAATCAACCTGGCAAATTAGCCCAGCGCCTGGACTGCAGGAAACGACAACTATTTAACAGTTTAACTTGCTAAATTGTATTTCGTTCCTGGCGAAGGACGACGCGCGTCGACGTTATTAAAAGATGGAAGTTTCTCAACATTCTGGACCTTCTGGAACTCATCTTAGAAAAACGCTTGTTAGAATAGAACTCTAGGGTGCGTGAAAAGCAAAAACACAACTTTGTTGGAAGTGGGAATTCCAATGTTTGGTATCGTCCCTCAGTACAATAATTGAAATTAATTAGCTCTACAGAAAAACCAATCTACCCTTGACTTGACCAAAACAATTTGAATCTAAACTGTCAGCTTCTAAAAACCTAAACAATGAAAAACATCTCATAGATCTTAAAAAAGAGTTCTGGTAGCTAAAAAGAAAGTTGTTATAATTTAAGTCTTATTTATATAATTTATCTGTTATTTACTTAAAGTATTTGTTTATATCCAATATGGTTGTAATTAATTATGGGGCCTCTTGCTCAACTGATGTAATTTAAATGAAGCACATACTAGAGTTTTGAACTGTGAAACGTGTTAAAAATATTTTTTATTGTCTTTAATTTAATTTTCACTGAAAATTGTATTATATAACTTTTTACGATTCTTAGAAATTTTAGGGTTTGTAATGTGACGTTCCTAGGTTTTTTTCTAATAAATGTTTGACCTGAAAACAATGTGTAGAATTCCTACCTGGATCCTGCAGACAAAAGGAGGGAAGGGTGCTATCACAAAGGTAAACCAATAGTTACCTTTAGAACACGATGAAATATATATACCCAGTTGTGGATCGAAATAGGCCAATCAGAAAAATGCAAGCACAAGACCGGTATAGTTGACCAATCAGTGCCGCCAGCTTAAAGAAAAATTGCCACTGGATTCCAAGAAAGAAAACGAACTCCTTCTGTCAACACAATGGGGGCTTTTTCGTTTATATGTAGATCGACTCCAAGACTGCTAGATGGAATAGTTACCTTTCTTTGTTTGTGCATACTTATAAAATCCAAGTATCCTATTATACCTGAGAGAAGAAGAGTAAATGACAAGGTATGTTGCTTGGTGGAAATGTTTTATCTGCAAGCATATTATTTCTCAGTAAACAGAGCAATAATTATCAATGATAAAAATTATTTGAAAGTCATTAAACTATAGGGGATCATAAAGTTATTAGATTTTCAAAATATATGTTCATATTGCTTATTTCTTATAAAAGTTTTGAGGATATTTCAGGCAAGGGGTTAAAAACAATGAAAGTCTTACAAACTCAAAATTTTAAGCTGAAAGATTAATATCTGAATCCTCTGGCATTGTTCACTTTTACGGATGGTTATTCTTAAAAATAGTAAAATTAAGTAACAGGTATTAAAGACACTATACCTTTGCCCATTTTGATGGCAATTTAAATTCCCATTAGTTGGACTTGTTTTACATCCAATCAGCAAAGTAAAACTAATTCTCAATGTTTTTCGATGATACATGTGCCATAGAGCTCATTGTTAACATTGAATGGCTGACTGGGAGGGCATACTGCCTTTAACATAATATGAATTGCAAGAAACCAAAAACTAATTCTACTTTTGTCTCTTTATGGGTTAAAATTGCAAAAAGGAAATTATAGTGTTCAGCCCAGCCCAGATAATACTAAACAAATACTTTGTTGCCTATCAATAACCAGAATACAAAACACTTTCCAGCAAACTGCCATATTTGCAGATGAAGTGACAAATCTTTGCAATGCTTCTTATGAAGTATGAGACCATATCCTTGGAACCTTTTGGTTTGCCACTTTTCAAAATGATAGATAGACACAGAGAATCATTCCTTCCAACGGTGTCCACATTCAGCATTGCAACATTTGTAGAAAGTTGTCATTGGTTCATCTGCTGATCTTGTTTGAATCTGCATGAAGTATGCTTTTGGATGTTCACATTTGGGACATTTTTCTGGAGAAAGAAACATTTGTTATTTCAATTAAAAGAAATGAGTAGATTTAAAACATGATTTGAAATATCGCATCAAACATGAAGAACAAACAATTCTCTCCCTCTGTCTACTATATCGACTATAACTACGTCTACATCTACAATCATTGCCGAAAGTACTTTAAAGACCCAGAAATATGCATTATGTTTCTATATGTTTCAATTCTAATTCCAAACACCCCCACTTTTGCACCCCTTCTCCCCAAAAAAATGTTGATAACTTAGAAAAATATCATACAAGTCAAAGGAAGATAATTACTTTCTTTTTTCCCATGTTGTTTCATGGTAAACCAACATGTTCAAAGGGGGTTGGGGTGGCTGAATTTGCCCTTTCAAACTGAGAGCTAGTGTACCAAGACTTTTGGCAGGCAATGTACACAATAATCAGTAAGGCCTATAAGGCATCAAATTGGTAGAGGTGAATCCTCCTTTTCAAGAGATAGACCTCTTACTTTCTAATTGTACCTTTGGTTAAGGGCCCAAGCTAGACAAGTCCATACTTTTCTTGGGTTGTGTATATTACAGTTTTAATATAATACTCGTTTTCTGTAGTATTCGAAGAAAATTGAACTGACTTGAAAAATTGAAAATGCTGTTTTTAGAGCACCTTGATGGGTGATGAGGGTTTATTACAAGCTGTTTTAGAGCAGTGTTAGATTTTGCTTAGCACAAAAAAGAAATGAAATATTATTTATGATTGATTTTTCATAATGAAAAAAATCAAAGCAATAAGATCTTAAAGCAGCTGGACATGTATAAAAAAGTTTTAACCTTGTTTTAATGAGTTGCAAGGTTATGATTTAATTTAAATTTTAGGGAGTCACAGACAATCAATAATTCTTTTCCAAGAGGCTCTCTCTCTCGCTCTGCTACTTGGCAACATGACTTGATATAGACTGTGACATTAACTAAAGAACTGATAGTCACCTTCAGTTGAGTCCACATTTTCCCAAGCAGCAGATCCACCAAGAACATCATCAACTTCTTTCAGTTTTGGATACTTCTTGTCTGATATCTGGAATGAAAATAAATAAACAATTTTGCATTTAATAAATGCATTTAAGAGTGATGCCCAAATAGAAAAACTCCTTGCATTCTGGACTACAGAGTATGGCAGTTTCCAATGATATATCAGGTGTGCAAGAGCAAAATATCAAATATCAATGAACGAGAGAAAATGAACAAAGATAAGTAACAGTGCCGTCGGAACAAAATTTATGTTGGGGGGAAGGCTGCCCATTGCTTTGTTCCCATACAGCCAGGGTGGAATCCATGTGAAGCTCACGCCGGACAACGCCAAAAAACAATAGCAAGACAATGGGAAATCGTTTGTCTCGGAATATCAATCGGATATCTCAGGCGTAAGCTACAAGGATATCACATTGGCCATACAGTCCACGGTTATAAAGGAAATATAGTAAGGTTTTAAAATTATTTGGGGGGGCTGCCACTACAGCATTAATCAGGGCTCCCGCTTCCAACAGCCCTAAATAATGTACATGATTGATAGTTAATCTGTTATCAAACCAATGCAAGATTATGTTGATCTCGAGTAAACCTAATTCTTCATATTTGTCCTAAGCCATAGGACACATAGATGTGACGCCGAGATCTCGAAATGCCACACTTTTATCAGGCGTGCAGGAACATTTTATAAAAAATATCTCGGGTCGGGTGTGCACTTGCCATACTCTGCAGCAGTCTGGCCTGCATTTGCCAAGAAACGTTTTTCTTGTTAATTATTGATAATTAGTGAACGGTTGAACCCAATAAAATAAATGTGAGTTGTATTATTCAGTCAATATTTTAGTCTTCATAGCTCTCGGCGAGATCTGTTGGCAATTTCTTTAAATCTTGAAAGATAACAACATTTTGACGAAATAATACCTTACGATTTATATCGTAGATAAATGGACATGTTTTGCAAGCAAATCTAAACGATGAATTCCCAGCACTTTCTTCCACCACTAAAACATTTGCGCAAATAGGACAGAACAGCAACATTTGTTTAAACGTGATGTATTCAACAACTAGACAGAAATCTTAAACCCTTATGTTAGCCATGTTTTATGGATCCAGAGTGGCTATTGAGCCTCGTTGCAGAGCTGCTGCCTCGCAGTCAATGCTCGCAGCATCAAATTATTAAATGTAGTTTTTAATTCTCTATCCCAGCGCTATTTTTCACACATCTAAATGATCGAAAATCATAGGAATTTTATATTATGTGTTGTAAAGTTATAGCTACAAAAAAGGTTATATATGGGAATGGTTTTCTGGTGTAAATAAGGAGGCAATTTAGAAGCAGCCTCTTTTTGATGAAATGTCTTAGCGCCAAAGAAACCAAAACATTAAACAGACTCACATTAGTAACCATTTGAAAGTAAATTACAAGATCGGGGAAGCAAGTGATGAACTTACTAGTATGGTTACCCTCCTGCCAATGAAGTAGTCATACTGCTGTGTACATAAGTTTGCCCTAAACTGTATGGTTTTTGCTGATAGAGTCACAAACTGCTTGTTTTGTGGTGGGTGAGTTTTTGCCTTCTCTAATACATGGTCACTGCCAGTTTCTTTTTTATTCTACTTGTCTAGTTGAAGAAACTCATAGACCACAGACATCTCAAATCTCAAAGACTGCAGGCATTACTAGCAGGGTTGCCATTTGGTCGTTTTGACATCCTATTATTCCTAAATTCTGATCGTTTTTCAAAACCATTGACCGTCAAAAATTGATTTAGCCGAAGAAGCAAAAGTTGACCAAATTTTGGCCGTATGATGAATGGCACAAAAATGCAAAGGAAACGAAAATTTTTGCACAGAAATCTTCAATATTTTGTTACAATAATCTCAAAGTTGCAAATAACGAAGCATTAAACAAAGTAAAAAAGAACAGAAAATTTAAATTGAAAGCAAGTTGAAGATTTTATACCAAACAGAGCCGGTTTTTCTTCATTGTGCACTTTTCTGCATGTTCCCTAATATAAGTAATATGGTGCAAGTTCCATAATATTCCATCAATTTGAGTAGTTCCATAATATAAGTGATGGCCTAAGTTTTTCACGAAGTGGCCTGTAGTAGTGTTGCTCATGTAGAAAGAGAGAAAAGCTGATAAGACTGTCTTTACACAAGCATGTAGATTATACAACAAAGAATGTGCTTGTAATACATTTATTTTTCTACAAAGTACTAAAAAGCTGGTAAAACAATATTTACTGAAATCATTCCATTAGGGGGGCATGACTCTATTGTTTAAAACAAAAAACATTTTTATCTCATTAGAAACAGTCAAAGAGAGCAAAGTTGAGTCAAAGTGCTGCTGGTCTTTATTTTTTTTTGATAGCACAAGCAATGTTAGCAACAGTATTTAGTCTATATTTGTTGTGCTTGGTTTAAATCTTTGCTCTATATATCTGTATGAAGAGGATAAATGACCTGACCATAACTATTTGGATGAATTTTATCAAAATATATTTTGCTCTTCCAAAGCATTGAGATCTATTCTTGTCTAGGAGCTAACCATGATACTCAAGAAGAGCCTGTTACCATCGAATATGTTACAATCTTTGAAGAAAATGTTAAAACCTTTGAAAACAACATGGTGATGTTTTGTTGAGAATCATGGAGTATGAGACAGATGATAGACCAAAACATAAATCCTTCAGCACAGAGGAGAAGATGTGCCTGGAGGAAATAGTAAGATAGTTGGTTTTATGTTCAGTTTTTTATTTGCATTAGTTGTTGTATCAATGAAAATTTCTAGATATTTAAAACAAATAGAATTAGTTACACAGACAAGCTTATTTAAGTTTATTCCTGCCCACTTCTTGATCTTCCTTTCCAAATTCTGGTAATTTCTAATCCTAACTGTCTTGAATAAAAAGTTTGACTTTTTAATATCCTAAATTAGCTTTTTTCAACTATGAAGGGTATCCTTTGTAAAGAGCACCATTAAGGACGTCATTATTTTTCATGATGCTTAGCATAATCATTATATTCATGAATCATACTAGCTATGACTTTAAGTGACCTGAATAGGAAATTAGTCATGGCCCACTCACTCATTGTCAAAAAAGATTGGCATGGTAGTGGTCTCATCAAATTGCTGTTCCCTTCGTACCCAATTCCCTGTAAAAAGGTTTCTTAAGTGTAACATGATTTGTATTTTTGACTTTCTAGTGCACATCAAATGGACTTGATTTCTCAGAGAAAACAATTTATAAACATATCCATGAAGTTGAGCTTTTCTTAAATGGAATTTCAGCAGTCCCTCCTATGAGACAGTTTCCTGCCCTGAAGATTTTCTGTTTGATTGGGCATCAGATATCTAAGATTGAACATTTAGAGCCATTAGTCAATCTAGAAGAGCTTTGGATTTGTGAATGTAGCATAAAGGTGAGTTATGCATTCAGAGCAATCACTAGCTATAGTGCTATAGCCCCCCCACCCTCAATTTTTGCTAAAAAGCTAAAGACTTAAGAAATGGACCACCAGTCAAGTCACAAACTTTTCTCAAACTCTGTGGTGCCTGGCCTTTTAGCCCAAATTCTTTTTAAATGCAGTTATGCAATTCTATTTTGAACTTAGTATCAATGAGAATAGTATCTTGTGGACTCCAAAAGATTTTCTTAAAATTTATGTAGAGATGTCAATTAAGGCAGCTAAAGCAAGTTTTCAAGGACAGAAGTTGTTGGGAATTGAGTTACATAGCATGCTTTTAAATGCAGTTTTGAAATTTTAATATATCTGTGTGATGTTATTTTTATTATTAAGCTTAGTATTTTTAAGCTCTAGTTTACCTAAAAGTGATAAAGTATTTTCATTGTCTCTAGGTTTTGGAAAGTCTGGACAGGAACAGGCATTTGAAGAAACTTTACTTGTATGATAACGAAATAGAGAAGATTGAAAACATTTCACATTTGAAGAGTCTTGAACTTCTTTGGCTCAATGGAAACAAGATTGAAAAAATTGAGGTATTTGAGAATTTATTTAGATCAACTGAATGTTTTACAGTTTTTAAATCTTCATGAACGTATAACCATATTGAAGATGGCATGGAAACAAAGATGGAAACAAAGCATACTGAAGTACTTTTCATCCAAAACTCTTGGTCGCTCAAGCTATATTTTTACAACTCTGGGCTAATCCCTTAAAGGTTCCATCGTTCTGCTTTGTAGCAAGAAGGATGAATTCGTGACTAGGGCCATGCAAAATGATTTGGTGACCTGTGGGAACTGCAAAAGAGGAGGGACCCTGTGAGCGAAGCGAACAGACATTTTTTGACGATGCCCTTTAGATTAGCTCAAAATACATTTGAGAATATTATTTAATGCCCTTTTCCTGCAATCTTTTAAGACGTCTCACTATTTTAAAGCATACTTTTGATTAACTTCATTCTAAAAATGAAATTTATTACTTTATGAAGCCTCCTAGTACCTGGAGCCCTAAGGCAATTTGATCTCGTGCAAACAAAAGTGCGCCCAAAGCTTCTTAAACTCTTCTTTGATTGTGCGCCTGGTCCGCAAATCGATTGCAGTATACACGACCATAGAATTTTCATTGCCCTCTGGCAGCCTCCTCACTAAGATTTGAGTCAGATTCTTGCGTTCTCCTAAAGTTGTTGGCTTTAGGTTTGAAACACAATAAGGGTACCAAGTTACCTAAATATTATTTGTCATGCAACACATGGGATCAAATAAAATCCTTGGCCCAAAGTACCAGTGACCAATAACATGATCTCGTAGAGTTGTTATGACGATAAATAAGCTGTTTTTACAATTGTTTCATTTGGATCACATAACCTGTTATTAGATCTTTATATGTGTAAAATATGTTTATTGGCCTTATCTCGACCAATTTGTATCATATCTTACTTTATTATTGCATATTTAGAGTGTTCTATGGTGTTCTATGGTAAAGTGGTACCAAGTGATGGCGCCAAGGGGAGTGTGGAGATGGGGGGAGGGTAATTACTCCCCACTTTTGTCAAAACAAGATCTACATATTGTTTCTATAAATTTATTCAAAAGCTTTAGGTAGGGGTAAATCACCTAAGGGTTGTGCCCGTTACGAGGAAAAAGGCAGTGGTCTCACTGGTCGCGCCCATCATATATTGTGTTGGCTTCGGAGATTCCTCGCTCATTTCATTGGGCCGTTTGGCTCAGTGGAATGGGCGTGGGTTTTTGAAGCAGCAAACTGGAGTTCGATTCCGACCAAGAGTGGTTCGATACAATTGGGCAGCACCGTTGTGGAAAGATATTTCTCCTGTCAGCCTCTGCCTTATGATTACGTGTACTATGTATATATATATATATATGTACTATATACATTCATTTTAAATTTACTCTTAAGGGTATCAATACAATGGAAAGCCTAAAGGAACTGAATCTCAGTGAAAATTTGATCACAAAAATAGGTCAGTATGCTTTAATCGGTATTTGGAAAAATTGGCATGAATCGGTTGAGGAAGTTGTGAATTAATTGTGTTATGAAACGTTTTATTAAGCTAAGAGTTGCCATGTCCTTATTTCCAAAGCTTCAAAAGTCATGATTTATAAAGCTTTCATGTCATTCTTATTTTACTAGCAATGTTTAGTGACTTACTATTCTGTGTAGTTGCTTTTATCACAGAAAACACAGTGATGTTGAATTCTTGTAAAGAACGATAACCATCCCTGTCTTTTTTAGGTGCATTCTATCTTTTCCTTGTTTTTAAGGTCGTTCCCTAGAAAGCAATCAAATGATCGAAATCTTAAACCTATCTGGAAATCCAATTTGTTCAGTAAAGGTTTGTGATGTACATTTTTAAAGAATTTGTGAAGCAAATGAGGATGAATCGCTTTTTAGGTATTTTATCAGACCTTAGATATGTCTAGCCTTCACTGCAGATCTATTAAGTTGTTTTATTAACTGTTTCTGGGGGTGTGGGCTTTCAATAATCTTTTTGACAAAGCATGTTGAACTAATGGCATCTGATGGTGACAGGTTTAGAGGTTACCAATCTTCCAATCAAAAGATAACTTTAGGCCTTTTTTGTTAGTCAAATGAGTATTTGGTTAGCGAGGGGCTGCTAGATCGAATCTGACTCCAGACCCAGTACATTATTTTGTAATCATGTTTTTTTACAGAATTTTGATTGTAATTGGTTTCTCCACAGGACATCACAAACTTGAGTTACCTTCCAAAGCTAAGATCGCTGAGTTTCAAAGACCCTTTATATACACCAAGTCCTGTTGGTCTTCTCTGCAATTATGCTCTTCACGTGCTATATCATCTCCCAGCTCTTAATACTCTAGATTCCCTTGATGTTTCTGTTAGATCACTGAAGGAGATGTCAGAGGTAAATTGAATTATCTAAGTTTGGTTCTGTATTTCATACGTTTTGAAGTGATAATGATAATATGGTCCTTAATATTTGCATTGTGCTGTTTATCATTTTCCTGCTGTAATCAATTGATGAAAAGTCTTAAGAAAAGTGCTTTATAGAAAAGAAAGCTAGAGATCAAGGTTGCAATATGCAGATTAGTTTTTAAAACGTAAAATGGAGCTTTCAGGTTTTTTAAAATATGGATCTATTCTTATTTGCGAATAGTAAATGACTTCATTTTATCGAGTCACTCTTTATCTGCACCCTGATGCAAAATTATGTTTATCCTTTTTTGTTATCCAACGTTAACAAAAGTATGCAGTAATATGGGCTTCCTGCTATTTTAAAAGTATAATTTTGATTGCAAAATCAGAAATGTTTTTATCAGACGTTTTCAGTTCGCGCTATTGGCTAGGACGACGTCTACGTTTGAAGAAAAGATTTGTTTAAAAAGGTTTAATTCTTTTCTTGATAACAAGTTCTTTTTTTGATCTTACGCTCTTTCATCGATGCTAACGAGTGTTCGGAATACATTTTAGATGACGGTTTCAAAGAAGATTATGTTTTACAAGATGAAACTTAAAACACTGGAACGAGAGTACAATGAAACAAAAAAGAAACTGGAAGATACGAAAATGAAATTGCAAACTGTGTCTTTTGGCATACAGAAGAAGCTTTGGTTTGCAGTAAAAGAGGTATTTACAGAATTTGATATTAGTCAATTGCACTAATTTGAGTAAAAAATGTAGCTAATGATGTTAGATCGATGCCTGTTATAAATATAAATACTTAAATGAAATTTAGAACTGCATTCCTTCGTCAGATTCTTCATGTTATGTTTGCATCTCAACATTGCGATTTCATGTGTCACCTCTGCCGCAAGGTCGTTCTGATAAACCTTCGCTACAGTAGAAGAGATATTTCAGTAGATTATGGGTATTTTGAGCTCTTCAAAGCAGTTCTTGTCAGCATCTCAAGACGTAGCTAAAACTTGAATCCAGAAAGAGAGGTTTTACTCACTAGTATCTAAAATTGACTTTCAGAGAATCAATAAATGTCATTGATAATAGAGTAGGATTTTTTTGGCATCTCTGAAGTGCGTTCTGATTCAGTGGTGTCAACGTAAACATAATGTTATTGACTTGTATTGATAACTCAGTCAAATAACAGCACTCCCAGATTTCAAAAGATGGTAAAGGAATGTTTTTACTGCTACCTTTAAAAGTTAGCTATTGCCATGCTGATTTGATATGTAAAAGATCGTGCTGTTTTTGTAGGTTGAACGGGAACTTGAAGAGCTGAACGTGCCTTCGAAAGCCATGAGTTTTGCTGTTTGTGAAACTAAAGGTAGTGTAATGCGTCATAATTAGCATTGTATTGTTAACCAGTCGCGTGAAAAGATAGCTCAGTTCTAGTGACGTGTAAAGCTATTCCAGTCACAAAGGATGCTCATCGTCAAAATCTTTCTACACCACGTCAATTGTTTCAGTTTTTATTGAAGATAATGCTAGGTTGATCGTATCTCATATACTGTTTTAAACAGCAAACAAAGATATCAGTAAATTTTGTACAAGCAATTGTTTATAGAATTGTCAATAAAATTGTTGGATTGAATGGGCCTATAGCTGTGGTCAAGGGCACGTGATAAGTGATGCCTAACCATTCTGTGACTCCAACCATTTTATCATAATGTCGTTAATGCATAAAACTAGATGTCTGAGTTGGCTAACGAGAATGCTAGTGTATAGCTGCTATCATTTGCTGTTGCTGCATTTAAACAAGTGATATTTCCTTAGGTTAATGCTTAGGCCCATTCATCTGGCCATCAGTGCTATGCTAGAGTCTCTCAAACATCGTGTCCTTTCCGAAAACTGTTTAAGAAAAAAAATCCATTTTATTCTGTGCTTACTAGAATTTTACCTCAAATTTACAAGGCTACTTATAGAAAAGATGCTTTTGAAGATGCTTAGGAAAGAACAACGATTTTCTGGATAACTGAAATAGCCGTGTTCAAGACGTGTTAACTTGACGATGACATCATTTCAAGTGCCAATATAATTGTTAAAATCGTGTTTTTCCAATATACAGAGAGAAAGTCCGATTGCCCTGAAGCAGACAAGAATTCGAGTCGGGACGATTACTCGGAAGATAATGACGTGGATCCTGCAGGATACGATTCCGAGGAATCATCAAGTGAGGACGAGCTGGAGGAGCTTCTTGAACGTGTCAATGCAAGGAGAGACAAGCTGAAGACAAAACTGCAGACGTTGCTAGAGCGAATTGCATTTTGGGATAAACGAGATGAAAGGTATGAGATAGGTGTTAAGAGCTGGATTGAGAGAGGCGAGAATATCTGGGAGTTGGGGTGACGAGGTTGAGTTATTTCATTTCATACCTGTAATTACTTGAGCACATTTAACAACAAAGGCTGCTCTAAATGCATTCATGGTTAAGTGAAAGCAAATTTTATTGTGTTCTTTGGCCGGGGAAATCCAGAAGATAATTTTTTTTAGTAAACGTATGTTTTGATGTTATGCTAATGTCATTTAAAGACTTATAGGATAAAAATTGTATGATTCAAGAATTTTATAAACTTTAAAAGTTCAAAGTGGAGTACTATTCTACCATTTCGATCTGCTTTTCTGGAAATGCGAAATTCGCTGTTATCCTGTACAAGCATAGAGTTATAATTGAATATTCTGATAGATTATTCTGCTTAAAAATTCGTATACTTGTTTGTATAGAATTATCTTTGTAAAATGTTATCATGATTTTTGGCATTTCGTTGTTCACTTGTAGTAATTTTTGGCATTTTCTAATAGTAGTCTCTTTTAGTCAACGCAGCGGTCAACGATAGCTTTTCATATTGTTTGAATTGTCACATTTCCAAGCTGATTTTTTTCTTTGCTCGCCTACAATCACTGCCAAAATTACTTGGAACAACCAACAGTTTGCGCTGTGCTTTTCTATTTTTCATTTGTTTTCCAGAATACTACTACTTCCTCACCTCTTTGGTAAGGAAGTACCGAACAATGTTTAAAGTAAAGAAAAATATACTCCAAAAAAGCCACAAGAAAAAGCATACTCCATAACCCCTCTTTTCCATTGTACGTTGTATTTTACAGGTATTGACTGAAAAATTTCCGACCAAACTGCTCTTTATTTTGTAGCCTTGACCAGTCATACAAGGAGGTTTGTCTGCAAGCAAGGCATTTTGTTGATCAGCAAATTGCGCGGATTGTAATGGAATTAGAGACTGCAGGCAATGTCAGGTTTGAAGAAGGAAGTTCAGCCGATCCTTGGTTTGTTCATAATTGACATATTTCAAAAGGGTTTTAGTTTAAGATTATTCAGGGCTCATGCTTGGCCAATGTTTATGTGCAGGGAGGGAAGCGCACTGCAGAGCATCTCTACACATACTGAGCTATAGGATAGCTGCCCCACCCAGCCCATATTGCTTCCCAACCACTGAATCTACGCGTTATCTTTATAGCCTGTGGCCTGTGAAGAAAATGGTACCAAACAATGACAGTATCATGACTTACGCCAAATGAATGATAGGAAATATGTTTTGAAATTTGCAATTTAGAAAGATATTTAAGACTGAAAAATGTTGGCTATAGAAATTACTGTGACTAAAAATGGGACGACTGAAATATTCAACAAGTGGAGTTGACGTATACGAAATTAGGGAGACGTATAAAATCATCTTTTGTTCATACATTAGTTTCGTTGATCTCAATCTTACTGTTAGGAATAAATGATTTACTGATATATTTGCAAAAATGGATTGGTCATTTACCATTCATCAAAACCAATTGTCATTCTTGGCTTATGGTGATCTTTTGTTTTACGGAAATGCTTTAAAATTCAACTTTGCAGATTTGAAATTATGCTTTAGAATTATGGATTTTGGAGTGTTTTTTATTAATTGAGCCGAAATGATAAAAATGTTTGCAAGTTTGGGAAATTTACAGAAACTTTAGGGTTATGATCGAGCTATTTCTGTAGGAATAATCGCTTATTTAGGGGCGGAGGGGGGGGGGATAGGAGAGTTTGGTTGACATATTCACGATAAACTTGTGTTTATTTCCTTCTTATAGGTACAAAGCTGTTCATGATGTGTTCATGTCTCGGTTCACGGAGCTAGATTATAGAGCAAGTATCTTTGTCCACTTATTTCGATTTCTTATTCCTTTGGTTTATATTTCTGCTACAGGCTGAATGTCTCCTCTTGCAGTTATTTGATAAATATTTGTGTGTAACTATGAATCATAACATTAATTTAATTCAATATGCAAAGCTAATACTTCTTAATACTTCTGAAATATTAACATAAATGGCATTATTACTTTCATTAACATTGCTTTCAAAAGTTTGTCATTCAAAAAAAGACGTAAAAATTTTCTCCCAGTTATATTTTTTAGCTGGCGGCCTTGATATGTTAAAGAATTGCTTCTGGTTGCATTTACATTTAAAACCAGGCAAGACATTCAGTTGAGATCCATACATTTCCACTAGCCACGATTCTTGCTAAGATACCTTGTCATTGTAGTTAATTCACCTAGACCTCTAAACAGCAGTTGGTCATTCACTCTTTGCTTTCCGTTTAGGAGCTTCCTATAACGTCGGTCAAGATTCACCAGATCCTACGAATATATAACAGAAACCTTCACATGAGGTTTGACAGCAAGCTAGAGCAAATAACAGATAAAGAGGAGAGCGTTTTGAGTATAAGGTCAGTTATATGAGATCAATACGAATATATGTAGGCAGAATCAATGGAAGTACTTGTTTCACCGAATTGTCATAAAGTGCTCGATGTGGGATAAGCAGAGATCTACACGCTAGAACGGGACGGTTCTAAGTTGCCACTCCGAGTTTCAGCCTTGATGCGATCATCAAGCAACTTTATAGAGGATTATATTTAAGGCTTTCTATTTATTTGCAAGATAAACTATATTTTTACGCTTAGGACGGAAGCTATTATTTCACACGATTCGATCATAGGTTATTCAAGACCACAACTTCTGCATAACTTCAACTTTTCGTATTTCTACAGAGATGAAAACAGGGAGATGGATTACCTTTTCAACGTTTGGGATCACTCTCATGCTGACAACAGTAAAGACCTTTTGGACAAAATCGAGAATGGATACGAATATGTACGTGATTTTTCTGTCGTTGCAGTTTCTACAATCCCGGATAGAATTTTTGAGAAAAAATGCAATTTAGGCAATCTACTTTATGTTGCCCTTTTAATTCGAATCACCCCTTTCCCCCGAATCAATGTTGGATTTGTATTACATCATTTATGCTTTAGAAACTTGCATTCAACATTGATTGGGGGGAGGGAGGAAAGTTATTTTTAAAGGGAAAGAGAAAGCATCAACTTTTCTTTAAAAGCCTCGACAAATTTTGTCCGGAATTGTCGTAGAGCAAATATTTCACAAATTTCCTTCGCTACTTTCAGCGTCCCTTTTTTCTACCCTTAACTGCCAGTAAATATTTTTCAACCTGATGAAAAATTACCTGAAATCGGTTACCTGAAAGTCAATTCCTTCAAAGAAAAGCTTACAGTTTAAGAATGTAATTGGCTGTTTTTCTTTAAGCGTGTGCTTAAGAAATTATCTTAGTCAGAAATAACATATGTTGTCAATATGTTGTCACATGGAGATATCTTTTTTAGGGCATCACCAATGACTATAGCTTCAGAATACGCCTTTCTAAGAAAGCTCGTGTTAGATCCTTTGAGTATTTATTTCCTATATCCACCCTTAATACAAGACCTAAGAAAAGATGACTTTCGGTTTGAAAATAACAATTTTGAAAAGAACTGTTTTGTGGGGTCTCTTTTTTTGGTATGACCGCCCTTACAAACGCAGCATAAAGAAGGTTGAAGGCAATAAGGAAATGATCTGGACACTCTGCGTCGTTATGCTGCAAGGTCAAAACAATCCAATCACAAGCGCATGTTTTACAGTTTGGGCTAGTTAGTAACAAATGTGAATGACGCTACGAGAACCAAATATCAAGCGTTAACAGTTGACTTAGCGTATTCACGGCAGTGGCATATTTTGTTCGTTATATGAGGATATGATGAGAAATGCTGTACCCTGTGCGGTTGTAGTGATGTCTGTTATATGTTAAATAGGATAGATATATTTTATGTTACGGGGATGAAACTCCGCTACTTTAGAGTAACTCACGAGATGAAGACAACGACTCGAGATAAGAGTAGTAATTGACTGAATTGGAGGTAAATGGTTTATATTAGAAACGTGATCGAGATTACAATTTTATAAAATCATCTGTGGTTAGTCCTGCGACAATCATGCATGTGGGGGTAATGATGTAGTGTCTTTCAAGGGCATTTATGCCTTTGTTGAAGAGGGGGTGTTGAAATGCCTATTAAGTGGATGACTGCTTAATGGTTTTTCGTACTGAATCGTACTAACGTGTATTCCCTAGGTTTATAAGCTGTTTCCTATTTTTATTTTAGAATTCCAACGCTGCTGTCCACCTCACCAACAGTCTGGGTGTGGCTGATAAATCGAGAATCAAATACATTTTGAAAAAAAACTCAGATAAAGATGCTGAAAAACAAGACTTTCGATACGGTTAGAGGCTCTTAGAATATTTGCCGTTTGTGTCTTTTTGATTTCACTATGTTTTGTCTTGATGATTTTTGTTAAGTGACTGAAATTAGGAGATGATGTTTTCTGACTGATCTTGGATGTCTAAAATAATCTTGTTTGCTTGTGGGATGGTTAATAGGATTTCTATTTCTATCGCAAAAAAATGAGTGGGATGTATCACAATATGCTGTTCAGCCAGTGCATATTTTTACTCTTATTCAGGCGAAGACCTGTACTTTTTATCAAATTTTTAAGGTTTTTTCGTATATTTGTAGATTTATTCAAGAGATTTTTGCGAAAAATTCCGAAAGAGTCTGATCGATTCAGTTTTTTGTTTTACATGTTTTGTTTTGTTCGACAGGTCGAATCCTGGTGTGCAAAACATTCCTTGGAAAAACGTGTAAGGTGACCAAAAGTGACAAAAAGTACGTCATTTCAAATCATATCAGCAAAGTAAACAATGTTCATGTTCTTTTTTCGTTTGAGAATAATCGGACAGGAGGCAGCAAGTTTTGTCTCAAAATAATGTTTGAATTCTAAAAGAATTTTCTACATTGGAAGATTCAAACTAAATCAGAAAGCGAAGCTACAGAAACTCTTTGCATCATTTTCATAGTATTCATTCTCACCAAGGGCTCGAAAGAAAGAAAATATTATTCTTCCTAAATCAATGGTGCAATGGAGTTTCAGTCCTATGTCTTGTCCACACTTCAGGGATCCACCTTGTTACTACGATGGTGCTCATTATTACTGCCATGGTTCCCGTTTTTACTACAATTGCTATCCTTGTTACTGTGAGGGTTCTTATCGTTATTACAATTCTTCTCGTGGTTGAACAATGGTGCTCGTTGTTACAACAATGGTTCTCGTTGCTATTACAATTCTTCTCGTTGTTAAACAATGGTTCTCGTTGTTACTACCATTCTTCTCATTTTTACCACAATGGTTCTCATTTTTACCACATTGTTTCTCGTTGTTACCATAATGGTTCTCGTTGTTACTACGATGGCTCTCAGCGTTAATACAATACTTCTCGTTGTTACTACAATACTTCTCGTTGTTGCTACAATGGCTCCTGTTTTAACTACAATGGTACTCGTTGTAACAACGATAGTTCTCATCGTTACTAAAGATTTATTCTTTTTTATTCCAGCGATACTCATTGTTATCAGTTCACTGCTATTATTTGTACCTATTACAACTTCTTTTAAGAATCAACAAGCAACAATATCAGAATTACGACACTGCCTACCAGACAAGAAGACACGCCATATGTCCGACCAAAGCCAGAAGTAAGAGCACTGTTGGAATAGCTGAGCTCTGTGATTGCACGCTGCGGAGGTGCACTTGGCACGTGTTTAACGCTGAGCTGGTGCTTCCAGAATATATGGTCGAGTTCGAATATGTTACGAGGGTAAGCATGTATTGACAATCTCTGTACTGTTGACTCGTCGTACTTGATGTTGTTATATTCTTACGACCTCATCTCGAACTATTTATTATTCACCGTTAATATAGGCATCATTTCTCTATTATCTGGGTTTTTATTCTCCAAGTGGCTCCGTCTTGTTTAAGGGAAACGCGTCGAAGTTTGCGCACGTGTTCAATTTGTTATAGGACAAGCTGTTATTGAACTTTATGCACGTAAATATCATCTCTCAAAACAGTTAAAAAAGTTGAATAGCAAACTCGTTTAGCTTGTATTGTATAATTGCTCGGTAAAGCAATGCACAACAATCATCAAAAGATGAAAATATAGTAATATTAGACGAAACAATTACTTTTTATTCATACCAGTTACTGTAAGTTTAAGCCTATGCAGGTCTAACTATCTCTTAGACCTTAGATATCTTAGGACCGTCTCAGTTGTCTATAATACTGCATTCTTAAATATTGGGCTACTTCTAGATCCGATAAATGATATATCGGTTGGTCATTTCGTTATTCATATGCATATTTTTGAGTAATTTGTTTGAATTAAAGCGACCTCTAAGACAATTTAGTGCAGTTTTTAGATGCGTCTTGCAATGGTTGAATGAATTACAGTAGCTTTGTACTATTATTGCTTGTAATCATACATACTTTTCTATATTTTCACAATATGATAACTCTTTACGTCCAGACCCTTCTTGACCCTCAACTGTGATCTTTTGAACTTATTATTAAACCTATTCAACATCTTTTCAGGAGAAATTGGCCTTATAGCAATGTCATCAAGCCCAAAAGTTATGATGGCAACGCTTTCAGAGTTGGTCATTCTCAGCACATTGAATAAGTCTTGCTGTAGAATGCTTTTTGTAGTTTCGTAGCAAAATATTACATTCATTTAAAGATTTTTTTTCTTTCGTTGTTTATGGTGTTTGTGTTCTGACTCTAAACGTTAGGTATGAGCTTTCATTTAACATTCTTGTCATTTCTTTCGATCAGAATGCAGAACCATTGCAAGCAAAGCTAAGTGAAATCTTGCTAGAAGGCAGCAAAGCAAACTCAGCCAATCCGCTGATCGAAAATGCTACTGCAACGGACGAAAAACACGCAGACATGGACCAGAATATCATAAACATGGACCCAATGGTTAAAACTAGGCCTAGGTATCACTCATTTTTTTATGATTTCAATGTAGCTCATAGCATTTTAAAACTCTTTCTTCACGGTTTATCAATCAAATAAATATTATGGCCTATTTAGGGAAAACATTTGAAGAATGATCCCATTCTGACCTGATTTGCAACTTACAGTTATCCTGTTCCACACACCCAATCGTGTACACTGTACAGGCCTGTGTTTATGACGTCGACCTTATTGTACCAAGATTTAACACTAACATTCGTAGGCTGACGTCTTATGTGATGTTGCAGCTAAGTATTGTAACACTTAATAGGAAAGCAATTGCAATTGCAATTTGACTTGAAAATCTTCGACAAGTCATTGACAACTCGGAACTTTGTTTGAAAATGGGTACTTGCGATGTTATGGACTGCTTTTTACTTAGTGTTTCTTCTTTGGTGCCCCTTTTGTCAAATATTACAAATAAAATGCGTGATTTTTGTATTTGTTTCTACCTA